GTGTCCGCCGAAAACTAAAAAATAAATATTAAAATTCTCTCTCTCTCTCTCTCTCTCTCTCTCTTAAAAAAAAGTATTTTCACTCACTCTATTTACATTGACTTATACAAAATTTCTAGAACAATCCATGTCTGAAAGGGAAGCTTAGTGACAACATCAGAACAAGTGTCAGCTGATTTGTGTGGCCTTTGACCTGTGTGTCCTAGAGGAAGGAGGAAGGCACCTTCCTTCAGGAGCCTTTCCCAGCAGGGGGCAGTCTGCAACATCCTTACTCTGACTATTCTCTCCTGCGTCCCACACAGGTTATGAAATTTGGGTTTCCTTTGCGTGAAATGTGCTGGCTGAGAAATACAGTGAAAAAAAGCACATGACACAGAAATAATTTTGAGAAGCGAGGGTGGAATGGCTCTGCGACTTTAGGTTCCTGCTTCCACACTGGAAGGAGAGAGAGAAAGAGAGAGGAGCCTGTGTTTTATATATTTATACAAGGGGGCTTCAAAGGATTTTAGTGGAATGTTCTTTTGCCAAATAAGGCAGGAGGGGGCCTGTACAAACCCAATGGGTAGTGCCCAAGTCTGGAGCTACAGAGCAGCCTCTCTAGTCGAGCAAGGACTAAGAGCACCATGTACTTCCCATAATAAGCCACAAAATGACTTGCAATACCAGACCAAAATCTCCTTGGCTCCAAGGCCGAAGAGAGGCTATTCAGATAGCTCAGGGTGGCCCCCTACACAACATGCTATTTTTATTTAGGAAAACAGTTCACTAAAAAAAAAAAATAATCTGAAAGTTAAAAGAATTGTGGGTGTCTTGTCCATAGCCCAGTTCTGCTATGCCAGAGGGTAGGTGGCAGATGGGCCAAAGAAAATGCCCAGAGACAACATGGGAGACATGGTTTATTGGAGGAAGCTTAAAAGAGATGAAAAACTCTTCCAAGAAGAGTTCAGTGGTGACAAGCTGACAACACATCTTTCTGTTATGATTTAGATATTACAGGTCTCCCAAAAGCTCATGTGTGAGAAAATGCAAGAAAGTTTAGAAGTGAATTGATTGGGTCATGAGCATATTAATCAGTGAATTAATTCCCTGATAGGGATTAACTGGTTGGTAACTGTGGGCAGGTAGAGTGTGGCCGGAGTTGGTGGTTCACTGGGCGTGTCCCTTGAGGTATATATTTAGTCTGTGGTGAGAGGAATCTCTCTGCTTCCTGGTGCCATATCCCCAGGTGTTTTCTTCTGCCACGCACTTCTGCCATGATGTTCTATCTCACCTCAGATCCTGGCTGTCTATGGACTGACACCTCTGAAACTGTGAGCCCCATATAAACTTTTACTCCTCTCATTGTTCTTGTGAGGTCTTTTGGTCTGGTCAGCGAAAAAGCTGACTAAAACACTGTTCCTCCCGGTGTTTTGCCAAGGAGGGCCTCCTCCACAGTCTGTCCCCGTGGCAGCCAGCTGGACCAGTGACATATACACAAAAAAGAACAAGGGTTGAGACTTGCTCTATTTCACTTCTTCAAGTTGGCAAAAGGATAAACAGTTATAACAAAAATATTCTAAAATGTAGATGCTTACGGAATACACAAATTTACATCACACTTAACAGTGCTGCAGTTGCCAAGGGCTTCGGCCCTGTACTGTCCTTTGGGTCCTTCCAAGTTGTTGTTCTATTTCTCTGTACTGTGCTTTGCCACTCAAAATGCCATCTAAGTGGTACAGAAAGCTCAGTCCTTGTTCCTGATGCCAACCCAATAATGAGAAAATGGTTTCGAAGAAAAGGAATAAGAAGTTTTATTACTTTCCTAGCAAAAAAGCAGGAAAAGCTTCTTTGACTCCAGTCCCAGAGACTGTGAATCTGTCCATCAATGGAAACAGGCTTTTTGTTGTTGTTGTTGTTTTTGTTATTTGTTGTTGTTGTTCTCTTTAGTTATACATGAAAGTAGAGTGCATTTTCACATATTATACATACAGGGAGTATAACTTCCCATTCTTGAGATTGTAAATGATGTGGAGTTACACTGGTTGTGTCTTCATATATGAAGGAACATAGAAAATTATGTCTGATTCATTCTGTCTTGTCTAATCCAATCAACTTCTATTCTTCCCTCCCCTACCCTTGTTTAGTGTTAGCATTCACATATCAGAAAGAACGTTGGGTTTTGGGTTTTTTTTGGTATTGACTTATTTCACTTAGCATGATAATCTCCAGTTTCATCCATTTACTGGAAAATGCCATAATTTCATTTTTCTTCATGGCTACTATTCCATTGTGTATGGATACCACATTTTCTTTATCCATTCATCTGTTGAAGTGCAACTAGGTTGGTTCCATATTTTAACTATTATGAATTGAGCTTCTATGAATATTGATGTAACCACATCACTATAGTATGCTGATTTTAAGTCCTTTGCATATATACCAAGGAGAGGGATAACTGGGTCAAATGGTTAGAACAAAGACATTCTAAAATATAGAATTCCAAGTTTTCTAAGGAATCTCCATACTGATTTCCAGAGTGGTTGCACCAATTTGCAATTCTACCAGAAATTTATGAGTGTACCTTTCTCCCACATCCTCGCCAACATTTATTGTTACTTGTATTCTTGATAATTATCATTCTAATTGGAGTGAAATGAAATCTCAGTGTAGTTTTAATTTGCATTTCTCTAATTGCTAGAGATGTTGAGCATTTTTCATGTATTTGTTGATGACTTGTATTTCTTTTTCTATTAACTGCCTGTTCAGTTCCTTTGCCGTTTATTGATTGGGTTATTTGGTTTGTTTTGTTTTTGTTTTTTGGTGTTAAATTTTTTTAGTTCTTTATATATCCTGGAGATTAGTGCTCTCAGTGGGCATTTTTTCCAGGCCTTTCTTCCATTCCTATTTGTTCCACTGGACCAAGATTGACAGGAAACCACAAGCTCCTCATCAGCACAGTAGTGCTGAATTGTGCTGTTCTGCCTAGTTATCCATAAAATTTAGTAGTATCTGATTTCTACTAAACAAAGGATGGGAAGGTTGGTTTGAGCTGTGACCTCAATCTAAAGCTACTTCTCCTGACATGAGGGGAGGAAACTTTTCTGCCACATGCCATGAAGGGACAAAGCCTGAAGGGACAAAACCCTAATAGAATTTCAGTTAGGGGATTGTCAGTCTTGAGCAGGAACACAACCAGAGAGGCAATGTGCAGAAAGAACCCAAGTATCAGAGGACTAAGGATAAGGGAAAATTTGGGTTCTGAAACTGAAAAAAAGAGTTTGGTAACAATGTCATAGAATGTGGAGCTCAAGAGTTTGGGCTTTATTCTGAAAACAGAGGGGAACTGCCAAAAGTTTCTAATTGGGAAGTGGCAAGACCAAGGCTGTGCCTCAAGAGGAAAAGGATTCTGGCAGTGGATCTGCAATTAACTTCCCAGGAGACCAAAACAATCACTCTTTCTCAGGGGCCTTCATTTACTATAAACTAGGAAAATGCTGATTCTAAATCTAGGAATATGGGGTGGGTGACAAGTTGAGGGAGGTTAGACTAGTTTGCAGACCCCCAGATTCCAGATCTGGGCAGGATCCCTGACCTTTGTCTTAATAAGCTTCTGTGACCACCCATGGTCACCTACCTTTTAACATGCTTGATTAATTGGCAGCAATCCCTGAGGATGACCTTTAAAGGTCACTGGAGCCAGCCTCAATGGTCTAGGCAGGAAGGAATGAGAATGTGTATTGGTGACGAAAGAGAATGGGAAAAATGACTAATGGAAAACACCATCGACACAAAATTGAAAAGATTTACCTATTAATTAGAAGTGAGAAAAAAGGAGATGGAAGAAGCAAGGATAACTACAAGGTTTTGAGCCTTGATCAAAGTAATGACAAATTTAATACAACAAAATTAATTTCAATTTGGTCTTCCCACTCTCTGATCCATATAAATCCAGTTTCTATGGGTCTGTCTGATCACTAATAGGAGAAAATGATGTTCTAAACCTTTCAAATGACTAACATTATTACAGACACCGTCTGCATGTTAGTCTCATTTAATTCTAATAGGTAGCTCAAATCTCATTCCATATGCCAGGTACTATGCTGTATACTTCACATTCCATCATGTTATTTAATCCACAAATCACCCTGAATGAGAGCTACTATCATTCCCATTCTACAGATGAGAAACTAAAACTTAGGAGAAATGAAGTAACTTCCCCAAGGTCATTGAGTTGAAGAGCAGATGTTTAGGCATAGGCAGTCTGCCTTGGGAGACAATCTATTGGCCATTATACTACTCTGTAGCTGTTAAACAGTGGTCAAATCTGGAAACAAAAGTGAAAGTGAAGCACCCAAGAATTACAGTCTAGGTTTTTTTTTTTGTTTTGTTTTGTTTTTTTCTGTTTTGGTAAAGAGTGTGATGGAGGAAGCAATCTGTTTAGAAATTTTAGGCAAGTGATTGATGTAATCATATTTGAAAATACTGCCTAATAACCAAACATACTGTTTAAATTTAAATGTTTAACTAAAGATTTTTTTTCCCCTGTTTGCCTTGGAAGATAAATTTAGGAGATATGAGTTGTGTTTGTTATGTTAGAAAATTCCCTGTACCCTTCTGGTAAAAGGATTGCTGTAATATGCATTGACAAGGGCTGTCAGGAAATGATTGCACAGTGGTGTCAGTTTATGCTGCTTGTTATTACATTTTTTTCTGGATCCTCTTTCAGTCATGCAATGATAATGACTAACACTGACAGTGAAAGGAGGGCTCTCACTTTCCTAAGGGTAAGCCTCAGTACAGACTTACATTCAATTTAAGTCAATGAAGCCAGAACTCAGGTGATGCTAGTGGGAAGGTTTCCCACACTTTCCAAAGTTCTAAACCAGCTAACTCTGTAAGGCCTCCTTTCCCTGACAAACTCTTCAATCCACCTGCTGCATCATGTTCAGGTGTCATGTGTATATACTACAGCAATGTGTATCTGTGTTCTCTGTTATAAGTGAGAAAAAAAGGAATGGACATTCAATGTATCTAGCACTTTATTCTCCACATTTTCGTGCATATGGCTCAAAAATAGACCTCATGTCAACATTCTGTTAAAATGAAAACTTGCATCAGCTTTTACATTTATTGGTAATGTAATATACTATGTAAATGTACAACAGTCTAACAAATGACAATCTAGTTACATAGCTTAAATAATACAAGCACTTGCTGCGTCTTTAATAGTACTCAAGTTTCTCTTATGGCTTTTTAAAAATAATTTTGAAAGGTGCATGATTCTCTTGGGCTTCTCTGTTTAGGAAAAACATTAGAGACAACATGTTTCCAGTAATGAATTAGTCAACTACATATATGTTCATGTTAGAAAATGTCAAATAAATACTGGGAAAAATACTTTATATTAACTCAATTTTACATTTGGGAGATTTTTTAAATATCTAATTTGAATCTTCAGTATTTCATTTGTTTTATATGTCAATTCATTATCTTATGTCCTATTTCAGTAGTTTCTAGACTGTCCCAGTGAAAATAAAAAAGAATTCAATTCCAGGTAATAACATCATCCATCTCCATGTGACAAAAAACTTCTGCTCCCAACATAGGAGCCACACTAGAAAAAAATTTCCCCCAATCCACTAGTGAGAAGCAAATATATTTTAGTTTAGAATGAATACTGCACAGCTGTGAACATTCACATTCTGAATCCAGAAAACAAGGATTCCTTTCAAAATCCAGATTCATTTCAAAATCCAACATTGGTTGAGGAATGCTGAGGTTACAGAGCCACAAATGCCAAGAATACAGACACTGACAACTAACCCTGACAAGGCTGGCAGGGTTTCAGTTCGTGCCTTTCCAAAGGTTCAGGATCATGATTCATTGTTGTTATTGTTGTTTTTCCCAAAAATGTGATGACATCCTGCCAAATCTTCTTCCATTAGGGCTGCTGAGACCAGAGAAACCGATCACATTTTTCAAGCATGCTTTGTATCAAGGCTCTGAAATCCCAAAGAAAAGAAACAAGCACATTTAGCTACAGTTGATCATTCTCTACAGAAAACATTAAAACCTATAAAAGTTGATTGACCCAGTGAGTCAAAAGACAAGAGATTAAAATCAAGAGCGAAAGGCAACCTATGGAATGGGAGAAAATATTTGCAAATCATATCCAATAAGGGTTAACATCCAGAATATGGGAGAACACCTACAACAACAAAAAGAAAAAATAACCTGATTTAAAAATGGGCAAAGGGCTTAAATAGTTACTTCTCCAAAGATGTTATACAAATGGCCAATAAGCATATGAAAAGATGCCCAACATCACTAATCAATATAGAAATGCAAATCAAAACCAAAATGACATATTACTATTACCTCACATCCACTAGGTTAGCTACTATTAAAAAAAAAAAAAAAAAAAAACAGAAAATAGAGTTAACTGGGACATGGAGAAATTTGAACCATTATGCATTGTTAGAAAAAATTTAAATAGTATAGCCACTATGGAAAATAGTATGGAGATTCCATTTCTGGCTATTCACCCACAAGAAACGAAAGCAAGGTGTAGGAGGGATATTTGTGCACCCATGTTCATTGTAGCACTATACAAAGAGAAAGTAGAAGCAACCCAAATGTCTTACAACAGATAAATGGATAAACAAAATGTGGTATATACGCACAATGAAGTATTATTCAACCTTAAAAAGTCAGAAAATTCTGTTAACATACAACAACTAAGAAGAACCTTGAGAACATTATGTTAAGTGAAATAAACCAGTCACAGAAAGAAAATACAGTTGAGTATCTCTAATCCAGAATTCCCAAACTTTTGCTGGGCATAGTGGCTCATGCTTGTAGTCCTAGTACTTAGTAGACTAAGGAAGGAGGACTGAAAATTCAAAGCAACTCTGGGCAACTTAGCAAGACCCTGTATCAAAATAAAATTTTAAAAAGGGTTGGGGATATAGCTCAGTGGCAGAGTGCCCCTGGGTTCAATGCCCCAATGCCCAGTTCTACTGCCCCCACCCCCCAAAACCCCAAAACTTTAAAGAAGGTTTGAATTTTGGAACATTTCTGCTTTGGGATTTTTGGATTAGAGATGCTCAACCTGTAAAGTCTATGCAAATATTCCAAAATCCAAAAAAATTCTGAAACCTGAAATATTTCTGGTCCCACGCATTTGAAATATGATAATTCAACCTGTACTATACAATGTTACTTAGAGGAGGTAGTTAAAAAAAAAAAGGTAGAATTATCTTTTTGTGGTGCTGGTGGCTGGGGATCAAACTGAGAGCCTCAAGCATAGTAGGCAAGTGCTCTACAAATGGGCCACACCCCTACAATATTCTTAGAGAATTGAGTATACATCATATTTGGGTACTCATATTAATCCAAATAGTGTCTTGGTTATGATCATGAATGAAATTCTACTTTAGTTTCTTCCCTTAATCACTTTAACTACCAAATCAATCTCAGTCTCCCCATCTGTTAGTGAGGGGTCAGGACTAGATGATCTCTACAATCTCATCTACCTCTAAAAATCAGGGGAGGGGGGGTGTTGTACATTCTCCAAGCACCATGGAAAGGCATGATAAACTGGCATTACCTCTGCCTTTTCTCAGCAATCCTCAGGATATCACAGGTTCTGGTAAATTTCTCTGACAACTCAAGGGCCAGACCACACTCCTGTAGCAATGACCATGCTGGATCTGGACCCATGGCCTTAGCTAACAGGAGTGCCACATTCTCTGTGTTGATGGGAGAAGGCCCATCATTGAGGTTCCCATTTAGTGACTCCTGGGGGACTGGACTTGAACTCTTCTTCTGTACAAGATGTAGGAGAAGCTTCCATTCCTCCACAGTCTCTGGGATCCAACCTACACACACACACAGAAGCAATGTTGGCTCTGACTACTCTTAGTACATTGCCTGCAGAGAGGAGATAGTAGAAACTGCAAAGACATTTAATATCAAAACAAAAATATGCAGAAACATAATTTCATCACCATGGCACAAAGTTTTCGGAACATATATTGAATAAATAGTTCATGATATAGAGAAGTCTCAAAATTAGCTTCAAAATCCATTCAATAGCTTACTGAATGCTCTATGTCATGTGCCATGCTATGCACGGGATATGCAATGATTAACAAAAGACAATCCTTACACTCTTGCAGATTTGACAATCTAGTATACAAGACAGAATTAAACATAAAAATATATACTTATAAACTGTGCTAAGTACTCTGAAGAACAAAGAACCACTAGAGACAATAGCTGACTTTGTTTACAGAAAGACTATGAGGAAGTGACATTCAAACAAAAACTGAAAGATGAGACAAGCTTAGAGGGCATGTTCATGTGGCCCACAGAATGCACAAACTTGGAGCAAAGAGTAAACATAGAGGGAAGGGACCTGCATTTCTGATGCAGGAAACATGGAAAACAATGTGACACAGGAAAGAAACTGGTGGGTTCAAAGAATTTTTATAAAAGCCTATAATGTATAAAGGTAGTAGAATGAGTAAGATGATAAGGCCAGGTCTTAAGGACCAACTTAAGAATCCAGAATCTGGACTTTTCTGAGTTCAGCAAACAGAGTTTCAGAAAAGAAATTGCATAATTCAATTTTCATTAAAAAAAAATCATTCTGAAGGGAAATGGGTTAAAAGTGGTTAAGTGTGGAACCCAAATAACCAGTTATGAAGTTGTTGCAACAGTCTAGGCAAGTAGCCAGGATGAGAAATTAAAGTGGATAGATATGAGATATATATTTGGTAATAAAATCAACATGACTTGGATAGTGACTGATATAAATCACAAGGAGAGAGAAGTGTCAAGAAAGGACCTTATTTAATACATTGGGAGTAAGAATTCTTAATATTAGTATAATTATATTAATAAAATATTGGGAGCACTTTCATCTGGGTTGGGAAGACTAGGAGATTATTTATGCTTCTTGAATTATCAACCTTTTTCTATAACAAATATGTTGTAATTTTAAACACACAAACCAGTTTTATCTTTTCCTGATGATTCTCTCATTCATATATATTTTTTTTTTAATACTCCTACAAAAACAGCTGGCCCTCCTATTTAATTTCTGAAACAAAGATGATCTCCGTAATTATAGATATAGCTGGATGCTCAGAGCTGACCCTTGCCAGTCAACTGGTTTCTTGCTTCTGCTCTAACTTTCCCTGTCCCACACCAGCAGGGTTGAAAAAAGTTGTAGTAAAGGATCACAGGTCTTTCCACTGAGAAGCGAAGGACCTGAAGGCATGCTGTCAGCATCTGTGCACTGAGATGAATACAGAAGCACTACAAAACTGACCAAGACCACCTCTCGGAGGGCAGGATGGACTCTCAGACTTCAGCTATCAGTGTGTTAAAGTCCTGGCCTTCTGACAATTATCTTATCAGTGTGAACTAATGAAAAAATTTTAAATGGAAATTATCGAAATGACTGTGAATGTTAGTTAAGTTCATTTTAATGAATTAAAACTTTTGACTGTCTAGTGAGAAAACATGATGCAGTAAAAATACACAAGCACAAATTCTGAGAGGCCTGGGTCTGAACACCAGCTCTAGAATTTACTAGTTGTGTGATTTGGGTCATTTAATTATCATTTCTCGGCTTCAGTTATGACATCTGGAAGATAGAAATAATAGTAACTATCCCCAAGAGTTTGTTATCTCATTTAAAACAGCATATGGAAAACACAGCATTAGTGCCTGACATATAGTAAGCACTCATCAAATAGAAAAGGAAACAAATATGTGTGTGTATACGTGTACGTGTGTGTGTGTGTGTGTGTATACATATACGTATCTCTCTCTCTCTCTCTCTCTATATATATATATATGTATCTCTCTCTATATATATATATATATATTATATATATTAATTATATATATATAATATATATATATATTATATATATATATAGAGAGAGAGAGAGAGAGAGATCTCAAAGGACACAAATTAAAAAACCCTACAAATTTGATAATTACCTAGAATGGTCATTAAAATGTTTACCAAATTCCCTTATTTAAAAGTCTGGAGAGACTTCTAAAATACTCAATCAAGTAGCTGGCTGGCAAGTACACACCATTATCCCCTTCCATCAGGCTCATATCATCCAGATACACAATGTTGGTGAAGGCCTCTCTTCTTCTCTCCAGCTCCAAACAGAGAGTAAGATATCCAGGCCAGAAACTTAGAGAACAAAGTTGAAGAAAGGAATAAGACAGTGAATTTATCCATAACTGTGCTAATAGTAGACAGTAGCCACATGTGACTATCTACATTTAATTAGAAGTAAACAAAATTTAAAAGTCAGTTTTTCATTTGACCTGTCCATCTTTTAAACATTTGACAGCCACATGTGACTAGTGATTACCATATGGGACAGAGCAATAAAACATTTCCATTATCATAGCAAATTCTATCAGACAATTCCAATCAATAGCTTTAAAGAGAAAAGCAAAGGCCAGGCCCAGTGGCACATGTCTGTAATAAAAATTACCCCGGAGGCTGAGGCAGTAGAATGCAAACTCAAGGCCACCCTAAGCCATTTAGTAGTAATACTCTGTCTCAAAAAGTAAAGTGCTGAGGATGTAGTTCAACCCCAAGTACTGCAAAGAAGAAAAAAAAGCTAGTGACATTTGAGGCCAGGCACCCATTATGAGGCATTTAAACTTTATACAGATTCATACACTTTTAGATTCAATTCAAGAATCAGCATATTTCTTCTCCCAATGTACAAACCTTGGAAGTTCTCCTGCTCTTCCCCTTCCTTTATTTGCTGTATAGTAAGTCCCACTGCATTCTCCTTTGAAACATCCATTGGATGTGTCTTTTTTGCTGCCCCACTAATCACCAATCCACTCATATCTGAATTAAGGCAACAACTTCCTAGACCTTTCTGGCTTCATACTTCATGTATAATGGTCTTTAGAAAGCTTCACTTTCATTTTTTTTCCTCCTCTACATTTTATGTCCTTTCCCTTCCCTTCAATTCCTTTTCCCTTCTAGTACTGGGAATTGAACTTGAGGAATTGGCCCTTTTTGTACCAAAAAGTCTAAAAGGGTCTATATAGGTAACTAAATTCTTCTGACCAGCTTTCCAGGTCTTGCATCTCATCATAATGCCAGGAGAAAGAGAGAAGGTTGGAAGGATAGGGAGATGGGTCCCTGGGTAACTTCTTGGGCAGCATCCCTCTTTTGGGACCCCTCCATCTTTGGGAGCTCTGCTTTCTTTCTATTACCTTAATAAATCCTGTTAACTTTGCTCTCATCCTGTGTCTGTGGATTTTATTCTTCAGATTCATGAGCAAAGAATCCAACCCCCTGCTCCATGATACAATCACCCATCAGTCTCATCCCTCATTATCAATGAATAAATATGTATTAAGTACTTACCACTATATAAATTAGGCAATGTGGAGGAAAAGAAAGATACAGGTCCCTCCAAAAGATTATTACCCAGGTAAAGCCATAAGACAACATCACCAGGCAATAAATAATCACTCATGAGTGATGTGGATAATAAGCAGTGGCAGTTTTTCTTGCCCTTGCCCTTACTCTTTCTCTTACCAGACCAGCCAGTCTTCTGGCTCCTCTAAAAATGCAAATCTTACCCAGACTTCAGGGCTTACCTCCAGAATCTCATCTTCTCCTAGATCCTTTACCCACAATTCTACTGAGCCTATTCTGATTTCTCTTCTTAGAAATCCATTATCAACCGTAACTGACATCACATAAATGGAGGCTGAATTAAATACTATCTACATGCCTGAGAACCAGGGCTAACAACTGAGCCTGGGGAATGGAAAGAAATTAGCAAGAGCCAGTCACTCACTCACCCACACACACACACACACACACACACACACAGCCACAAAATTTAAATGTGAAAATTGTTTACTACCACTAAAACAAAAAGGTACAGTTATCTTTAGGAAGCAAAATTGAATTCCCAAGTGATAACACATACCAATTCAGGCCCTTAACTATAAGGTTATGCACTGAAGTGATTCTTAACTTCAGCTTCTGTGAAAATCCTTACTTACCCACAAGTCCTACAGATATCAGTCATTTTCTCTTTGGTTGTAAAATCTGCAGGAAGTTTAATTAGCTGAAGGATCAGCTGACTATAACCCCAGGAAAACAAGTGTGAATGAGGCCTGTGAAATAAAAAAAAATAAAAATAAAGAAGTCAGTAATTAGAAAGGAAATAAACTCTAAAAAGTCCTAATTAGTTGTCTAATAGGAAAGAATACAGTTTATGTCATAGCTGCCTGTAATCTCAGTAACTCAGGAAGCTGAGGCAGGATGATCTCAACCAAGAAAGGCTAGCCTAGGAAACTTAGCAAGGCATCGTCTCAAAAAATTTTAAAGGGGCTCGGGATGTAATTTAATGGTAGAGTGACCCTTTTAAAAATCCAGTATTATTATATCTTCAAACATTTCCACTTGGCTTTTGAAAAATGTAAAGTAGCTACTTCTATAACCTGTTCATTTTTAAAAACTAGAAATTTAGGGGTTAGAGTTGTGGCCCAGTGCAAGAGTACTTACCTAGCATGCAGGAAACCCTGGGTTCAATCCTCAGCCCAGTATCACAGTAAAACAACTAGATATGTTAAGTAATCAAAACCAAAAAAAATAAAAAATACTGGGCATGGTGGTGCATGCCTATAATCCCAGTGACTCAGAAGGCTGAGGCAGGAGGATCTCAAGTTCTAGGCCAGCCTCAGCAACTTAGCAAAACCTTGTCTCAAAAATAAAAAGGACCAGGGATATAACTCAGTGGTAAAGCACTCCTAGGTTCAATCCCTAGTACAAAACAAACAAACAAAAACAGCAAAAAGAAAGGCTATAATTTTACTGCTCACAGTCACTGCTATCCTTCTAGTCCTTTAGCTAGATATAAAATAAGACAGGCATTAGTTTTTGTTTTGTTTTTTTTACCTATTTCCCTCCCTGGTACTGGGGATTGAACCCAGGGGCACTTAACTGATGAACCACTGAACCACATCTCCTGTCCTTTTTTAAATTTTTTATATTTTGAGACAAGGTCTCACTAAGGGCTGAGACAGGAGAACTGCAAGTTCAAGGCCAGTCTCAGCAACCTGGCAAGAACATGTCTCAAAATAAAAAAAATAAAAAGGGCTGGGGATGTGGATGAGTGATCAAGTGTCCCTGGATTCAATCCCTACTACAAAAAAAAAAAAAAAAAAATCCTCTATCAGGTTATGTCTAGAAATCCCTTGAAAACTTTTTAGAAAGAAAAAAAACAAACAACAAAAACCAGTCCACACACACAGTTTTCTCTAATGGGTTTAATCACCAAGGACTCTTAATGTGGGTCCATAAATGAAGTTCAGAGAGATCATTTAATTCTCTGAAGTCATATGCAAAACTTTGCATTAATGTGCATTTTTCTGAAAGCAATCATTAAATTCTTATAGGGTCTGTGTCCCTAAAAGTGTTTAGAACCACTATAAAGTATACTCAATTTTATTATTACAGTAAATTAGGTCAGTCTTTTCTATAGCTAATCGTAAAGTGAGCCCAGAATGCTGCATGTGAATAAATCAGTTCCATCCCAAAGGAACATCAGAGCTTAGTTCTTAGAAAGAGGACTCCCCTTCCATACCTGGGGTATCCTTCATCATCCATAATGCTTGTACTTGGTGGAGCATCATGGGACACTGCCAAAAGCAGCCAATCCAATCTTAAAGATTCTGGTTGTAGAAGGGACTCAAGGAAGTATGACCTGAGAGAAAGTTGGATTGAAGAATCACCAATCTTCATAATGAGAGAAAACAAACTATGGGATACGAAAAATTTTGATCAATAGATCAATATAGTAGATAAAATAACTTGAAAATTCTTTTACTACAGAATATCTAGAAATGCCTGTGAAAATTTAATAGTCTTCTAAATGAATAACTGAGTCTTCTAGATATACAGAGAAAAAAAATCAAAGTTCCAATAAGTAAATAATAAAAACCAGTGTGACAAATGTGAACTGAAGGAAAAAGAGGAAGTTGACAGTTTAATAACCAAATGGGAATTTATAGGTATGGCAAGATAGGAAATGATGAATCAGCCTGAAAAGAGAAAAAGCTGGAAAAGAGAGCCATTCACAAAAAGTTGGGATATTGTCAATGAAAAGGTGGCAGTAGCCAGACATGGTGGCACATGCCTGTGATCCCAGCCACTTGGAAGGCAAAAAGATCACAAGTTTGAGGCCAGCTGGGGTGATTTTCAAGACCCTGTCTCAAAATAAAATTTAAAAAGGGCTGGGAATGTGTCCAGTGGTAGAACACTTGCCTAGCATTTGCAAGATTCTGGGTTCAATTCTCAGTACTGAAAAAAAGAAAGAAAGAAAAGGTGGCAGTAGATATTCTCACTAGTAGAGAACACGAAAAGCTCATCTGTTTTAGACTAGGCTCTGAATCAAGGACATAGTTTTGTACTCATGATCTGAGAATCCCCGAGAGGGAGGGTGGGTAAAGAAAGGTAGTATATATATATTTGTGGTGTGCACTATGAATTGTAGCAGAAGACAAAACTGCTCAAATCCTCATCTTTCACAGTAGGTGCCTCAACTTGGTGCAGTTAATAGTAAAAATGTTACACCTGCGATAAAGAGAACCAATGCCCTATCAAAAAAAAAAGGGAGTCTACAAATGTGCTACCCCTCACCGTTGATCTTCAGGCCTTGATTTCACCAGACTGTCTAAATAGGCCAAAAACTGAGCAGGATTTTGATGACAAAGTTGCATGATATCTGAAGGCAAAATGTATGGATAAAACCTGATTAAGGATCGAAGGGCAGATTCCCCAAACTTCTCATACAACCTGCATTTAAAAACAGAACCATTAGTCTCCAACTTCAGAGAGAGAATACAACTTGATTACATTAAGTACTAATTAGAAATGAAAATGAATATACCAATGTGCAAATGAGTACAACTTCAATGAAAAAAAAAAAATGCATGTACTTCAGTTCCTATAAACACCATATAGGACAACCTACCTGGTAGCATAAGCAATCAGCAAAGGACTATCAAAAGGAATTGAATCATCTAGTAACTTTAATCTTGCTGGTAAGTCTCCTTCTTCCATCTCCATATATATAGAAGTGGAACTTGCCATTTCTGAAAAATAAAGCACATCTTTTTTTCCTTCGACTCCTAGCTGCAAATGTTAATTAACATACTCATTCAAAAAGCACTGGTCACACACCTACTATATGCATCTACTACATACAAGGCCCAGTGATTATTCAGCATTGTAGGAGAGATTAAACAAACAAACAATTTCATCTGGTCTTTGTGCCTATCCATCTGTCAGTTTGATGTAGAGGACAGTGTGTGGTATTGTTCACGCTGAGATCCACGTGAAGTAGAGTGGACTAAAACTACAAGGGAAAAGATTTCAGTTCAACACAGGATTGGTAGGCGAGCATATGTGAGCAGCCAGGGCAACAAGAGATTTTACACATTAAAAAAAGCATTTTAATATGCTATGTGAAGTTAGCCAATCCCTAAAAAACAAATGCTGAATGTCTTCTCTGATATAAGGGGGGTGACTCAAAATGGGATAGGGAGGAAGAGCATGAGAAGAAGACTACCACTAAATAGGGAAGAGAGGTGGGAGAGAAAAAGAGGGAGAAGGGGAGTTGCACGGAAGATGGAAGGAGAACCTCATCGTTACACAGAATACAAGTATGATGTTGTGATGAGAAAAAGAAAAAAAAAGTGTGTCACATTAAATTGGATAGAGAGAAATGATGGGAGGGGAGGGGAGGAGTAGGGGGGGGACAGGAAGGGCAGCAGAATAGAATAGACGTTATGATTGCTGTATGTATATAGGTGACTCTATGACCAGTGTGATTCTGCAATCTGTACAATTAGAAAAATGAGAAATTATACCCCAATGATTCAAATGTATGAATTGCCAAGATCATTGTAATGTCATGTGTAGCTAATAAAAAAAAAAGCATTAAAACAAACAAACAAACAAAAAGAACAAGCCAGGTAACACAACTCAGGAGGCTGAGGCAGGAGGATCGCAAGTTCAAAGCCAGCATCAGTAACTTAGTGAGGCTCTAAGCAACTCAACGAGGCCCTGTCTCTAATAAAATATAAAAAAAGGCTGGGGATGTGGCTCAATGGTTAAGTGTCCCTGGGTTCAATCTCTGGTACCAAAAAAAAAAAAAAAAAAAAAAACCACCAACAAAATGTAATCTCTACTTTTGTGGACTTTAAAGCATATTAAAATTTTTAAACAGGATACAGGTACAGATAATAAATATATAAGTGACCATTACTCTTGAAAAACATGAGTATCTGGGGCTATATATGTCTACCATTTATATATATATATATATATATATATATATATATGTATGTATATATATATGTGTGTGTGTGTACACATACATATATATAGATAGATATCTCACAAACATAAATATCTATCATCAATGCCAAACTGATCAATTTTTTTCTAGCACTAGTATCTATTTATCGCTTAGAATTAAAGTCAATTAAATAATTTTAAAATATTTGACCTGCTTTTTAAAATATTGGTATAGCAAATATTCATCTTCTGAAGTAAGATCTGACTTTTGGGAATAGCAAAAGTCATTTAAAGCCAAGTCTGATGAATAAGGTGAGTGAAAATCTAGTTAAAACTAAAAGTACATATACACATATGAATCTAAAGATAAAATGAGTTTTTTTCCAAGAACTTTTCAACTAGTTCTGAAGACAAATCCCAAACAGTTCCAAATGTTGTCTTCCATAACTATAACATCCTTTAAAAAGTGAGCCCTGTTCAACTGACCATTTCTAGAAGTCCAATGTGCAATCCATTACCCTACAGGGTTCAACAGGTAATTTCTAAAAAGCCAACCTTCAGTTTCTGATGTCTTTTTTATTTTTTAAAGTCTTTTCTTTGTTTCCCAAATTGTTCCCCATTTGACTGTGGCAGGCAATAAACACTTAGAGGAATCCAAAGGAAGCCATCACTTAGAGTTGGAGAAGTAAGGGAAAGCTTTATGACTGGGTATAATCTAAGCCAAACTTATTTCACCTCAATTCAAGTAAACACAAGTGCTGTCTCATCTCAAACTGCCTACCAGGCACCGATAGTAAGCAACAACCGCCACTCCAGATGATGCAAACTCTTTTCTGCTATTCTACTGTGACCAGGGTGGGGTATGATCATGTAACAGAAACAGCAAATTTCCAGCAATATCCTCACACATTTCAACCTATTTGAAGAGATATAACTTGTTTCTTATTTTGTATAGAAGACAATCTCCTGCTGGGCATGGTGGTGCACACCTGTAATCCCAAAAGCTCAGGAGGCTGAGGAAGAAGGATCACAGGTTCAAAGCCAGACTCAACAGCTTAGCAAGGCCCTAAGCAACTTTGCAATACTCTGTCTCAAAATAAAAAATAACAAAGGGCTGTGGACCTGGCTCAGTGGTTAAGCACCTGTGGGTTCAATTCTTGGTACAAAAAAAAAAAAGACAATCTACTACAACTCAGAAAAATAATCCAAAACCATTTTTTGTGCTATTAACAGCTATATGTGAACTAAAACAAAATTACTAATATAGATGCATGTTTCTAAAAAGCGAGATCTTTAAGTCAGATAATATAAAACTGTATCTTGGACTGGGGATGTAGCTCAATGATAGACCACTTACTTATTATGCCTGGCACAATTCACTTTTGAAATGAAGAAAAAGTGTGCTTAAAATCTAAATCAATTAGATGTGGTATCTGTTATTCAAACAGAATTCTCATTAAGAAAATTTTCCTCTTAAAAAAAAGACAATCGGGGCTGGGGTTGCAGCTCAGTCATGGAGTGCTTGCCTCGCAAGTGTGAGGCATTGGATTTGATCCTCCACATAAAAATAAATAAATAAAATAAAGGTATTATATCCATCTACAACTAAAAACAATTTTTAAAAGGCAATCAATACATTCTTTAAGGAATGAGAGAAGATTTGTGTCAGGTTGGCAAATAATGTGACCTTCACTCAACTCTAAGGTGGACACTGATGGATATGAGCCCAAATCTTTAAGGCAGACATGCAAGCGCTTCACCCATATTTATTCTCTACCTCCTGGACTCATGCACCGAGGTCACATTTCCCAGTCTTCTCTGCAATTAGGAAGGGCCATGTAATAGAATTCTCACCAGATTATGAATAAAAGACAGGTAAGGCATTATCAGGCCAGGTCTTTCAGAGAGCATGTTCCACATGCTTTCTCCTGGATATAGTAAGCAAACTTTAACCAACAGCCCCAAGGGAAGATGGAGCTTAAAACAATGGAAGGAACTTGAAATGCTAAATTACCACAAGAGCTGCTCATTGACCTGGAACACCTGCCCTAAGCAAGAAATAAACTTCTATTATGTGCAAGTTATTACATTATGAGATATTTATTACAGCAGTTTAGCCTAGCCAACAAATACTATCTCTGTGCCTAGGTTTCCTCATGTATAAAATGGAAAAACACTATCTACTCTAAAGATTGCTGTTAGGATGAAAAGAGATGATGCCTGGACACTGTTTATCATATTATACTGTACACAGGATACTCAGTATATATTATTTCTATATTACTATTATATGACAGATTTTCTTGTTTTTATATATTTGTATTTACAAATATTTACTTTAGCCCCAACTGCTCTGACATTGCTATATCATTTTCTGTATGTAACTATAAGAATAAGAAAATGAATTTCTCATAATGGAGTTGTAAATGAAGTCAATGTTAATTAAATAGTAAAATGAAGGCTGGGGATATAGCTTAGTGGTATATCTTATTAGCATATTCCACATGCTTGCCTAGCATGTGGAAGGCCCTGGGTTCAATCCCCAGAACTGCAAAAATAAATAAATAAAATGAGTAGAAAACAGAATGGAGGGTTGACCACTGCAGAAGTGATTTTTCCAATTAAATCATTATTTAAACTCAAAAATTCCAAAATGCTAAGGTCCTCCATATTCAGTTCTTTATCTTTGATAAAGCAATTTGATTATTACCTTTCAATCCTTCAATAAAAGTATCCCAAACACAAGGGTTGTTAGTATAACTAAGCTTAATACTCTCCTTTGCTCTTTTCAAGTCCAAAAGAAAAAAGTACTTCTTTAGGAACTGACAAGCCAGAATTTCAGAAGAGCATTGTTGCAAAGTATGGTCCACATGTTCACCAGTGCTATTGATAGCAGAATTCAGTATATTCAATTCCAAACACAAGGTTGTCAATTCAGCCAGGTCCTTTTGAAGACTGTTTGCTATGGTGCATGGAGAACATACTTGAAAAAGGTCATCCAAGGGCTTCCTCAGACTAATTACAGATTCACATGCTGTTTGATCAACAGTTTCTTTATTGTCTAAAGAGTCCCTTTTTTCTTTTTCATTATCTTCATCCAATATTCCCTTTTTTGACTCATTAAGTAATAGTACGTCCTGGTTCAATTTCATGGGTGAGTTGCCAGTATCTGAAATGCCTGCAAAGTTCTTCATGGCAAATGTTTTTTCTAATTGTGAAAGCCACTCCAGTAAAACCATTCTCAGAGACTTGGGTTCAAATAAAACCAGAGGATCCAGCATCTTGGTCCTATATAAAACAGTTAAGTGTGAAAAGAATATGATAAAACATACTCATCTGGAATAAATGTTCTTTATGAACAATTATCTTAGCAACAAAACAGAGAACAGTGACTTTGAAATGTCACTAATTCTTAAATTTCAATTGCAAATGAGGCTTCCTCTCTGCCTCAGACTGTCCCAGGCCCACTAGGATGGTCTCCAAAAGCCACCTCACTGACTATAAAATTTCATCCACACTCACATTGCTTCTGCTGTTGCTACTGTGAGCTCCTGGAACATGTCTCCTTCTGGTGGTTCACCAGTTATCTCTTTCCCTCCTCTAGAAGAGTATAAAAAATAAAAATAACATTCACAAGAGTTAAAGAGGATTAGAGCTTTCTTAGGAAATATTTCTATGTGCTTACTAAGTGGCAGGTATTGTTCTTCATGGTATGTTACACTGCCTGAACAGTCCTTTTCTCTTTTTCATTATCTTCATCTAATATTCCCTTGACTCATCAAGCAATAGCACATCCTAGATCTTATAGGCCAGAGAGCATGAATAACTTGCTCAAAGTCACATGCTAGTCAGAAGAAGAGCTAGGACAAGGCCTAACTCTTACTTAGTCATCTTACTCTTAATCAAACACTATTCTGACATACCAGAAATTTGACACGATTATGGGGGAGAAAGGTGGGTTTTGCAGTGGAGAGATGAAAGAGATCTAAATTAAAATTCTTTAAAATTCTATCTCAATAAATTTGCTATGGGTTGATATAATTATTCAAATCTTTGTGGAAGTCTCAATATTTATAAGATACATAAACAATCTTCAATGAATAGGGTCAAACTGTGCTTTCTCCAACAGGTCAGTTTATGGCTTTCTTCAAACTAACAGCTGGTTCCTCTAGAATGTACACAGATTTATATGTAAGGGCTTACTCAATGTCTTCCTCCTGTGGGCAGGTAACCAAACTCATTTCCTCTTCACATGACTGATCATCATCCCTGGTATCTGATCTCATTTTTAGCTCAGGGCTTGCATGAAGGGTGCCAATCTTCTCAGTAGTTTTACGCACAAAGCTAGAAACACTAGAAGTAAAATAACAAAAAAATTATATGAAATGTCACTACTGCCAAAAATGAAAAATTCAGTACCTGAGTTTGCTATGTTCCTATTAGTCCTAGGAAGACAGCTTGAACTTAATAATAGAGATTGTTTATAGTAACTTCTCTAATGAAGAATATGTTTCACAAAAACCTCATGTAAAACAGACAATATAATGATTCACTTCATTTAGAAAACTGCCCTGAGAAACAATGATTCAATGCTAACAAAAGGTCTTAACTTTAATTATGTCTGTAATGTTTATGCCAACTTAGGCAATGTAAGCCATGTGATCATCAGCTCATCCTGGTCACAGAATAACAAAGAGTTTATTCATAAAACTCGGCTGCTAACTTATTCACAATATACTCTCCTAGACAATCAAAATTTGTATCCAGTAAGACTCCGATAAACAGTTAAGTAGCTACACAAAGTCTCCCCTCTCAAACTCAACTGTTAATACTGGTCCCATGGAATGGGTAGAAAGAATTCTGAATCTCCAATTCTGACACCCAACTGAGAAAGGATCAAAAGATGACTAGTAATAGTGTTCCAGGCTAGGGTTGTGGGTTCAATCCTCAGCACCACATAAAAATAAAATAAAGAAAGATACTGTGCCCACCCACCTAAAACTAAAACATAAATATTAAAAAAAAAAAAGTTTTAAAAAAATAATACTGTTCCTATCAGGGATGAGGAAAAGGTAAATTTTTACATTTTGCTCTGTCTGGGAGAAGCCAGAGCTATAACAAATCAAGTATTTAGCTTCTCAAACATGGAAGGAAGTTAAATTCCCCAAAGTTGGAATGAAAAGTTAACAGCTTCACATAATAGGTTATATGAGAAATAATTTAGAGACTTCTTTTTCTCATTTAAAATGCTTTTTCATCTCAGCATCAAGTACCAAATGTGACCTTTTCTTTAGCATTGAATCATTGTTTCTCAGGGCTATTTCCTAAATGAAGTGAATAATGGACTTTTCATGAAATATATCATTGATTAGAGAAATTGCTCTAAAAAAAAGAATCTTTCTTTTTATTAAGTCCAAACTGACTTCCTAGGACTAATAGGAACATAGAAAACTTGGGTATTGAATTTTTCATTCTTAATTGTAGTGACATTTTTTTGTGAAGTCAAGTCAGAAATGGAATTAAATGACAAGACTCATTTACCTTTCTTTGACAGCCTGAAGAGACATAAGAGGAGATGGAGAACGAAATGATAATGGAATGCCAAAGGGGAGAAAAGTTTCATTCTTATCTGTCTCAAACGTCACTGGAACATGAGAAACATTATCTAATGAATGGAATTGGGGGAAAAGAAATAAAATCAAATCACATGGAATTTTTTCTTTAAACTTTAAAGAAATTCTAAGATGAATAAACTAAAGGAAATGAAGGATTCAATATCAAAATCACAACTGACCCAGATACAAATGAGTGTGGAACACAATTATACAAGATGCATGAAATGGTCTACATAAAACACTTAGGCAGGTACCTTCATTTGCCTACTAACCCTGAATCCCCAACAAGTCAAAAAGGAAGTTTGGGGCCTCTATTATTATCTTCTCAACAGTTCAATCACAGGAATACGTGAACATTGGAAAGGGAAGGCAATGGCTCCCAAAACTGAAGCAATTTCTCAGTCCTGATGGAAAATAATTTTGTTAGTAAGGATAAAACCTTTCCACTCTTTTGGTTAATGATCTTTCTCATCCTTTTGCAGCATTTCGATGCATGATTGAAATTAGGCACTTACTGATGTTAGTTCAAACATGAGGTTAAAAAAACAACTAAAAATAAGCTGGATGTGGTGGTGCATGCCTACAATCCCAGCAGCTCAGGAGGCTAAGGTACAAGGATCACAAGTTCAAGGCCAGCGTTAGAAACTAAGTAAGGTCCTGTCTCAAAATAAGAAATGAAAAGGACTGGGGATGTGGCTCAGTGGTTATGTGCCCCTGGGTTCAAAAATTTAAAGAAACAACTAAAAATAAACCTACTCTCCTAATGGTAAGCAGATCTATAGGTTTAGATACAAAATCTATCAATAGGCTAAAAACTACTCATACCTAGAAACTTTATGTACAAGATAATTTTGGTAAGAAGAACCCACAGAAAATAACTGCTTCTCATCAACAACCAACAGGAAATATATTCATCACCTTCATTTTCCTGTGATCCACAACTCTGATCTGGCTGGTCTTCTTCCTGATGTAAGGTAAATTCTTTAAGTCTCTCATCTTCTGAGAAGGTTTGGCTATGAAGGGAGCAAGAGTCTTCATCTGACTGACTGCCTCTTCTACTACTAATGATACGATAAATACCAGAGTCCAAGATGCTAAAACTTTCCTAAAAATGAGGTAAAAAGAAAGAAAGAAATCAAAGTAAAAATTTCCTTTGTAATACAATGCAGCTTTTTCACAGAAATACCAACACTAAAATGGGAAGCCAGTAACAACTATTATGGCTTATTAGAACAAATTGGTGAAAAAGTTTAGGTGCCTGGCAGCTGGGTATTTCACATGTGCTACTGGCATCATGCTGCCTGATTTCTCTAGCTTGTCTTCATAAAGCATGGCAGTGAGAATAAGGAGTAAATGAGATAATCCCAAGTTGTACTGAGACTCATATTAGCATGAAGCATCTGAAATCACCAATTAGGAGCAACCTAATTTGTGCTGGAGGCTATACAAGGTACATTCTGGAACAGAAAATAATAAACAATGACAAAAACAAAGTATAGCTTCAAGACACAGCTAAGTTTCATACAGACGCCCAACAGCTAAAAGAAAGCCTTTCTTCTACAACTTGAATCTCACGTGTCCCCACAAGGGCCCATGTGTTGAAGCCTTAGTCCTCAACCTATGGTACTTCTAGAAGACAGAAGAGCCTTGGGATACAGTGGAAGGAAGTTAGATCACTTAGAGTTTGCCCTTGAAGGGGATATTGAGACTACAGTCCCTTTCTGTTTCTCTCTTTGTTTCCTAGCTGCCATGAGGTAAGCAGCTTTGATCCATCATGTGCTCCCTGACTTGATGTTCTACCTAGCCATCAACAACCATGAGCTAAAACCTTTGAAACTATAAGCCAAAATAAATCTTTCCTCCGTATAAGCTGTTTATCTCAGGTATTTTATCACAGTGATGGAAAGCTAACATACCCTATCTCAAAAAAAAAAAAAAAAGGAATGAAAGAAAGAAACAAAGAAAAAATGAACTACAGGAAAGGAAGACAGGATTTGGAATCCTAGGGGTAAATGAGTATAGTCTAAGGTGAAGCAATATTACTTTACAACAAAACCCCTTTAAAAGTGAGAATACTTACATGTGATGAAATGGAGCTTCTTCTACTACTACAAGCTGAATCCAAAGGTTCAAATTTTAAGATCAATTCATCCAGCTGAGAAATTAGATCACTACAGGTTTCAAGGTCCAGTTGAGATTTCAAATGCTCCAATTTATCAACAGTCAAAGTTTTTCTTGCCTAATGAAAGGAAAAGTAAAACCCAATTGTATAGCTGACTGTCTGAAATTAAGTCTATACTCACATGAACAATAAATAACAATAAATAAATGAACATAAAATTAGGTCTAACAAAGAACTAACAGATGTTTTATAAACACTTAGAAAGCTAATGAAAAACTTAACCAGAATTATCTCAGGAACTAAGAATTTAATTGAGAATTACCAAATACTCCCCTTAAAAACAAGTTCTAAAATTCAAATAAATTTGATATTTTTTAAACAGAAAGCATAACCTTCTTATTACCCTCCACCACCCCAAGATATATCTGCTATGCTTTCTTTGGGGATTTATTGCTACATCTGAAGGTCATATAGAAGAGCTAAGAAAAATAAGCAATTTTGTAAGACAATCCTGAAAACTAGCATGGTCTAGCTTGATGAACTTATTTAGATGAGTTCTGACTCACTTTACTGGCAATAATAGAATTTTGGAAAAGACAACACGTGCGAGCAGCCAGGTCCCATTGGCTTCTCCTCAGCAGGCGTTCCACACAGCGCTCCACAGACAAGAGGGAGAGATGTGAGACTTTCCCATTTAGGTGCAAACAGAACAGCTCATTTTTGCAGACAGCCATATCCTGAATATCTACACAAATCACAGGGGTTAATGCACAGGATGTTAGCCCAACACTCCTTTTCTGTTTCTGCAATGGCTGAAATTATTCTAATAAATTGACTTTATAAATAAGGTTAGTTTTGACTATCTCTGCTTTTATACTTGTATTTCAATGAAGAAACCATATTTTAGACACTATTCTATAAAGATCAGGAATAAAAGATATGAAGAAAGAACCATATCTCTCTGATTTAAAATCCTATGGTTAAAATGCTATTTTCTGTGAAAAGGAATTGGGATTGTAAAATAGGTAATCTATATTAGAGTCAGGACCAGTGTTCCTGAGAATTACAACCTGATGATCAATGAATGGATTAAAATATCTGTCTTGGCGGAACATCTTGAAAAGATTCAACAAGGATGTGAGGGTGATCTAGCTGTGACCTCTGTCACGCCATTGATTGCTAGGGTTAATTCAGCTGATCTGGCTGGCTAGATGGGTGTCCTCTTCCTCCCCCATCATTCCATGTGTGTCCCTCCCAAAGCTGCGCACTGGGTCTGTAGAAAATGACCTTCCCTGATAGAGGAGGACCTGTTCTTTGTTCAAGAGTATATAATTAGCTGCACTCCCCTGCTAGAACCTCCAAACAAGCTCTCAAGACTCAACAAACTAGTTTTCAAAGAACTTAATCCACAAGAAATCAATGTTGATCAGACCAGTAATACTTTCTTTCTCTCTCTTAAGTAGAAAAAGACCCCCAAAAGTCAACATACACTCTCTACTAAGCAGCAGTGCTAAAATAGCTGCATTTCGCCCATATCTGGTTTTAACCAAAAGAATATAAAGAGTGTCTTTGTCTTAGTTACATAATAATGACTTCTGTTCCCTCAGGGACTTTTTTTTTTTTCTTCTTTTTTTTAGTGTTGGGATTGAACCCAAGGCTTGACACACACTAGGCAAGCACTCTACTCCTGAGCTACATCCCAGCCCCTTCAGGCACTTTTCGAATTCTAAACTGTTAAGATACAAAACTGGAGTGAAAGCTGAACTTCTAGAAGGGATAAAAACTAAGGGCAAACAGAGGGGAAAATTAACCCATTTATTCTTTTTTTGTGGGGTGGTGGTGGTAGTGCTGGGGATTGAATCCAGGGCTTTGTGCCTGTGAGGTAAGCACTCTACCAACTGAGCTATATCCCTAGCCCACTTATTCTTTAGCAGTGGCTACAAATATTTAAAAATAATAATTTTAAAAAACTGTATTTAAAAGTATCCTTAAAAACAAATATCTGAATATAAATTCAAAGATGTATGGTTAGGAAGTACCTTATAATGAGAAACATCTATGATCCTAATTTTTATTTTTTTATTTTTTAGTTGTAGTTGGACACAATACCTTTATTTCACTTATTTATTTTTTTATGTGGTGCTGAGGATCGAACCCAGGGTCTCGCACATGCGATGCGAGCACTCTACCACGAGCCACAATCCCAGCCCCTATGATCCTAATTTTAAAAGAAGCATTAACCCATTCTCTTTTCAACTTCTTACACTGCAAGAGAATCCTCTTACAATAATCAAATATCATAAGCTTTATGAAATTAAAAATCACATAAGAAAAATATAAGCCAGGCAAGGTGTTGCACCCTATATCCTTAAGAGACTTGGGAGGCTGAGACAGAAGGGCCATGAGTTCAAGGCCAGCCTCAGAAACTTTGCAAGACCCTGTCTCAAACTAAAAAATAAAAAAAATTCAAAAGGGCTGGGGGCATAGGGTGTAGCTCAGTGGTAAAGAACCTCTGGGTTCAAACCCCAGTACAAAATTAAAAGAAAAAGAAAAATATAACTACCTTTGACTTCACTCCATAGAAGAACTTGAACATTCTGAGGAATGAAAATATAAATTCCTTTTTCTGTCCAAGTCAGTACACAATGCTCACTGAAAGAAAAAAAATGTAAGAAGTTAAAAGAATTAAAGTTTGCTACGATACAGAAGTTTGATATATTTCCCTGAATTCAGATCTTCACATTATCTATTAAAGTAAAATCAGACCATACAAAGAAAATACAACAGTGATCCAACTAATCAAATCTTAATACTCTCCTTTCTGTCTATAACAGCATACACACAAAAAAAAAATGCATAAAAAGATGCCAGATTGGGAAAATTCAGACACATACACTAAAGACCTTCTAGAAAAAGAAATGCCTGGTATCTGGAGAAAGAAAAGCTTAGGGACGACTTACCCGACATTTATTAAAGTAGTTAAGCTTCTTGTATTTGATATGATAGGGGCTCATTTAAAGACTAACATCTTATTGCCAATCAATCATTGCTCTAGTTAGCCACTTTTAGAAATGATAATATTCTAATTTTGTTAATTGTGTGTACATGACAAAAGATTGAGTGCATCTGGTCACATACATGCCAGAAGATTTATCAAGGGCTCTACCTATATCATCTAACTTCATAGCCCATGAAGGTAGAAGTGTTATCCTTATTTTACAAAAAAGAAAACCAAATCTCAGAGAGATGACATAATATGCCCAAGCCCATTCAGCATGAAGACAGAAGAGTCAGAAAATGAAACTAAGGATGGTCTAGCTCCCAAACCTGGACATTTTTTTTTCCCTCTCATACCTCACAGAATCTATTTTCTCCCTCATTTATTCTCAGTAATCTACCCTGTTATCCAGTATACTAAGTATTTCATTTTATTGAATTATCAAAAGTAACAGATTTCCTAATTACCAAACCCAATAATCCTTCACTAATCCCAGGCAGAAGACTGTTCCTTCTTTCTTGAGTTCCATTTCCCAGATTCTCGGATACAGTTTTTTCTTGGGTCTCTGTCTGCCTCTCCAGAACTCTGGTTCTCTCCATTTCTCCTGTTCTTTTCTTTCTTTTTTTTCATACCATTTACTCATATAAATATGAGTGTATCTTATATATCTCATGTACCTTCTCAAGGCTGCTACTAATGTATATATACCACTGATAATTTCCTTTCCTTAACCCTAGTCAGGACATTCCCCAACATACAGGGTTCTCACTATAGCTCCCTATCAAGGATCAGCTGAGGTTCAACTACCCTCTGAAATAATTTCCCACAGCCCCATAGCAACTGTGCCTCTTCCTGTACTCAAATCTATTTCTTGTCAATTCACTCATGTACTGAGTCATGTACTACTCTGTTACAACTCTTGTTTTTTGTGTGTGTGTGTGTTTTTTTTTTTTTTTTAGAGAGAGAGAGAGAGAATTGTTTAATATTTATTTTTCAGTTTTCGGTGGACACAACATCTTTATTTTATTTTTATGTGGCGCTGAAGATTGAACCCAGCGCCGCGCGCATGCCAGGTAAGCACATTACCGCTTGAGCCACATCCCCAGCCCACAATTCTTGTTTTTTATTGTTAAACTTTTTTTTTCTTTTTAGAAATAAACCACATTTCTCCAATTAAGTATAATCTTAAGCATAGGAATAATATTTTCTTTGTCTCCAAGAGTACTAAAAATGGTTCCTTGAGGCCATGAACCTAAGAGTGATACTTTATAGGACTTGGATCAATACATACAATATATACAAATATTAACATTCTGTCCAGATCACTGACCCTAGAGGAAAGTAATCTTTGTCATAAAGATGGAAGATAAGGTCAGCATTACAGTCCAAAGTAAGTAAAATTGGGAAGGCTGTCTTCAAGAGCCATAGAAAATATATGATATATACTCTTATCTGAGTAAAGAAATAAGAGGTCATAATTTTTTATATTAAACTTGATATTCAGCCTGAAAAATTTCTTAGAAATAGTAACCTACATTAAATGGGGGGTGGTGACTAAAATTAGAGCTGACAATTAAAATTTATACATTTTTCATCCCCTTATTACTTCACTAATAATAAATAAGTTGGGACATAAGCCTAACAGCATTGTTTACAAATTCAAGAAAAGAAAGTGTTAGCCAGGTGCATGCCTATAATCCTAGCAGCTCGGGGGGGGGGGGAGGTAGGAGGATTACGAGTTCAAAGCCAGCCTCAGCAATTTATCGAGGTGCTAAGCAATTCAGTGAGACCCTGTGTCTAATAAAAAAATACAAAATATGGATAGGGATGTGGCTCAGTGGTCAAGTACCTCTGAGCTTAATTCCCGGTACCCCCCCCCCCAAAAGAAAGTGTTATCTATGTACCAGAAAAAAAACAAAGTACAGGATATTAGAATGCTCCCTTATGAGTTTTGTAGGTTGTGCCAATGAACATAATTTAGGACACAAAAATGGAGGAAAAAGTAAATTAACAAGGATAATAAGAAGCCCTCCTACTCATGTTTTTCAAGAAACTTTCCACTGAATTAGTCATTGTTTAAGAGCCTTCAATGTGCCTAGTGCTGTGGTACTAGAATGGATATTCATAACATAGTAAGATAGTGGTGATGATGGAGGAATAAATGAGGTTTGACAACAGTGCATAGGAACGAGTACCTAACCCAAGCCTGCTGGGGGAGTTAGCAAAAGCAAAGTGACATTAATTATTATTTTAGCTGAGGAATAGGCCAAGCTACATCATGAAAGGCTCTATTTGCCACAGCAGGGACTATAACGAAAGTTTTAAATAACCAAACTTGAAGGATAACTACTAGGAAAATCAAGCATATTTCTGAGGAAGAATGCTTTCTACTACACAGCGAGGCCATACTATCACCCAACTTATCACCCCACATATTATGTTATAGTTAACTGAGTGTTTTATGTACCAGGCACTAAGCCAAGCACTGAGAATACAACAGTGAACAAAATAGCCATGAAGCCCTCAACAAGCTTACTGTTTAGGAGCAGGATGGGTTTATAAATATTAATATTTAATTATAAACTGAAGAATGCCATAAAGGAAGGCCCCTAATAAAGGAAGAGGTTTTAATATGCTTTATGAAGTATAGGCAAATAATTAGCTGCGTTCCTCCAATAACTTTCAGGATGAATAATGTGTTTATTAAATGTTAAAAGGTCTATAATTCATTTTTAAATACTTTGGTTTAGTGAATGTGATATACATGAATTAATTTTTACTTTGCCCTTGGTGGCAACTAGTTAACATTGACAGTTTTTAATTTTTATTTATTTACTTAACTGCAGTATTAGGGATTGAACCCAGGGCCTTTACCACCGAGCTACATCCCCAGTGCTTTTATTTATTTTATACTTGTTATTTATTTACTTTTGTTGTACATAAGATTGAACCCAGGGTGCTTTACTACTAAACTACATCCCTAGCTCCACCTCCCTTTTTTTTTTTTTTCATTTTGAGACAGGTTCTTATTAAATTGCTGAAGCTGGCCTCAAATTTTTGATCCTCTTGCCTCAGCTTCTGAAGTAGCTGGGATTACAGGCAATCACCACTGCACACAGCTTATTTTTTGTTTTGAGACAGGGTCTTTATTTGCGGAAGCTGGCCTTAAGCTTGTGATTCTTCCAACTCAGCTTCCTGAGTCACTGGGATACAAGAAAATGCCATCATGCCCCACTCAGTTGTTTTTTGGTTGTTGTTTTATTATTTTATTGTCTTTTTATTTTTTATTTTGAGCAGGGTCTCGCTAAATTGCTCAGGGCCTCACTAATAAACTGCCTTTTTTTTGGTACTGGGTATTAAACCCAGGGGCACTCTATCACTGAGCCACATCCCCAGCTCTGTTTTGTATTTTAGAGACAGAGTCTCACTGAGTTGCTTAGCACCTCACCATTGCTGAGGCTGGCTTTGAACTTGCAATCCCCCGGTCAAACTTGCAATCCCCTGGTCAAACTTGCAATCCCCCTGTCTCAGCCTCCCAAGCCACTGAGATCACAGGTATGCACCACCGCACCCTGCTAATAAACTGTTTTTTTTTAAATCACATTCTAAGTTGGCATGGTGGCATGCATCTATAATCCAAGGCACTGAGAAGGCTGAGTTTGAGGCCAATGTCAACAACTTAGAAAGATTCTGTCTTAATACAAAAAACAAAAAGGGCTAAGGATGTAATTCAATGGTAGAATGTCCCTGGGCTTAAACCCCAGTATCCCCCCACACACACACAAAAATCACAAATCACATTCTAAGAGTGATTAGTTACTCTTTAAATGAACCCAAACAGAAGTCCACACTCCAGCCAGGTGCGGTGGCACATGCCTGTAATCCCAGCAGCTTGGGAGACCTTGAGGCAAGAGGATCGATCAGTAGTTCAACTTAGTAAGGCCTCAGCAACTTAGTAAGGCCCTAAGCAACTTAGCAAGACCCTATCTCTAAATAAAAAAGGGCTGGGTATGTGGCTCAGTGGTTGAGCATCCCTGGGTTCAATCCCCAGTGAAGTCCACACTCCAGTGTGCCCTATAAAAAACTCTAAATACCATTTTCTAAATCAGCATTAGAGATCTTATTAATTAGCCTAAGGACATTAGAAATAATTTTTCACTGATGAAATAAGTAGAGTTCCAGCACAGAGATTAGTGGGAAATTATACATTCATACTCATACCCTTGTAGAATAAGGTACAGTAATTGGCAGACCCAGAAGTTGACAAACTCTACAGTGGACTCTGTGCTGCCACTTAATATGGATTTTGCATCTAATGCACCTAGAAGGCTAACTTGAAGTTAGAATAGGGCTGAGTCTACCTTGAATAGATCTTTCATGCAAGATATTTGTCAGAGTCTCTAAAAAGCAGAAAGTTGAAATTTTAATAAGATTTCAAGAACAAGTTCTACAACTATGTTTGTGCCTGCCTATTAATAAACATATATCTATGAGGTAGATTTTAGTCAGGGACTTGCTTTCATTATATCACCCCAACAGGTAGAAGATGTTATAAGAGAATGAATACCAACAGCTCTGATTGTCAGATGTTCCCTGACAATTATAGACTCTCCATTTGGTTTGGAAAGGGATTTTCTTTTGTTTTCCCATACTTTTGTTTTTTTTTTTCCAAGTGGTGCTTTATAATTGTGCATATGTGGGAAAGTATTTTCTCATTCATTTTCACTTTTTTTTTTGGTGTTGGTGATCAAACCAAGGCCTTGGGCATGCTAGACAAGCACTCTACCCTTGAGATAGATAGATATATATATTACAGTCTTATTCCTCTTATATAGAGTATTTCATGTAACTAGTCATTTTCTAACTTTCCAAAAATAATTTAGGGTAAAAAAAAATTTTTAAAAGTTACTGGGGGGGGGGGGGGGGGGTGGGCTGTAGATCAGTGGTACAGTGCTTGCCTCAAATGCGTGAGGCCCTGGGTTTGATCCTCAGCACCACATAAGTAAAAAATAAATAAAGATTGAAAAAAGAAAGCAAGCTACTGGGGACTGGGTTTATAATTCAACAACAGAGTATTTTGGATAAGGCCCTAGGTCCTAACACCACAAAATAAAAAATAAATAAATAAAAGCTAAATGGGAGAGCTAGGTGTGGTAAACTGAAACATGTAGTCCCATCTACCTGGGAGGTTGAGGCAGGAAGATTGCTTGAGTCCAGGAGCTCAAGGCCAGCCTGTCCCCCCAAAAAAAGTCAGGGGAGGACTAAGGGTATATATTGCTCAGTGGTATAATACTTGCCAACATGCAAGAGGCTCTGGCTTTAATTCCCAGCACTATAAAAAACAAAACAACAACAACAAAAATGCTCCCCCACCACCGAAGAAATTAACTAGCTAGGGTATGGTTCAGGGGTGGAGAACTTACTTAGTATGCACTGGGTTCAGTGCCAGAACCAAAACTAAATAAATAAAACCAAACTGCCTTTGAATAAAAGGAAAAGCCAAGGGAAAAACTTACCTAAGATGCAAGAGTTTGGGAAAAGACAAAGACTGGGAGCATCCAATTGTATGATCATATTGAGGTTCTGATCTAGGAAGCAAACACATACATTAATGATTTACTAACAACCTAAAATTACAAAGTTTTCCCAATATTGTGCAATTTTCACCGCCAAAACAATTTCAAGAGCTGAAATGCATCTGCCCTTATTCAATTAACTCCAATCAGAGGAAGGACAACTGATTAGAGGCTTTATCTTTTGATAAAAATTTTACTTAGTTCTTAAAAGGTATAACAAAATCATTAACAGATAGGAGAAGATCTGAGATTTTAATCCAACCTCCAAGAAAATTCCTCAAATAATCCCAATCAGCCACACAAATCATTACCTTGGAGTAATCACAGGAAGAGGTGGCAATGAGAGGAGTTTCTTGAACTGATGTGTACTTATAACTTCCCCATCAAAGTTCACTTCCCACATCCTGGAGCCAGGACGAGCACAAAATATCAAAGGTTGCTGGCTCCCAGAACACCTTGCAGGGAAGAAACAAGCTCCATATTCTCCATCTCTTTCCTTGTTTCCAATTTTCCAAAACTTTTCTCTAATGTCCAGAAAGGAAGAGACACTATGTTTACTTACAAAAAAGTTAAAGACAATGGCTTTATGAATCAGCATGGCCATGATAATCCCACCCACAATGTTCTCTTCCTTCTTCATATTAGTATTATGCTGGAAAGAACAATGTAATAGAAAGGTCAAAATAGAGCTCTGCTCTATTTCTGTGACCGGAAGCAAACCTCTTCACATTAGTACTCAGTTTATTATCCATAGAATGAGAGATCAGAATTGATGGAAAAACCTGTTTCAATCTAAAAGGTGAGTACCACCAAACCATTTCATCATACATCCTTGAACCCTAAAGTCCTTGTGCAATACAATGCTCTCTGGACATCCCATGGAAGCCATGACTCTACCTTTCCACCTCTATCTCTAAGATATGTCATCACCACAAACATCCAATAAACTCCTCTTTCCCCAAAATGCTACGTCCCTCTGAAACATATCTTGGAACATTCTGTCCACTTAGGATTACATGAGTTAAATACATAAAAGTATTTGAGCTGACCGCAATGGTGCATAGCTGTAATCCCAGAGACTTGGGAGGCTAAGTCATGAGGATTGCAAGTTTTTTTTTTTTTTTTAATTTTTTATTGTTGGCTGTTCAAAACATTACATAGTTCTTGATATATCATATTTCACACTTTGATTCAAGTGAAGGATTGCAAGTTTGAGATACACCTCAGCAACTCAGCAAGGTCTTAAGGACTTAGCAAACTTCTGTCTAAAAATAAAACATAAAAGGGCTGGGGTTGTGGCTCAGTAGTAGAGCATTTGCCTAGCATGTTTGAAGCACTGGATTCGATTCTCAGCACCGCATATAAATAAATGAATAAAATAAAGGTTCATCAACATCTAAAAAAAAAAAATTTAAAAAAAGGTCTGGGCTTCTGCCAGAAAACTCATTAAAAACATTTAGTGTTAATTAATACATAATATCTATACACACACACACAAAAAGAGTAAACGTGTCCTTTTTGCAGTCTAAAAAAACAAAAAAGGGCTGGGGATGGGACTTAGTGGTTGAACAACCCTGGGTTGAAACCCAGGTACCAAAAAAATTAAATCAAATAAAAAGTTCAAAGCCCACCTGGGCAACTAAATAAGACTGGAAAACTTAGTGAGATCTTGTCTCAAAATAAAAATAAAAACTTTTTAAAGGGTAGAGTGCTTGCCTAGCATATGCAAGGCCTTGGGTCCGACCCCCAGTACTGCAAGGGAAAAAAAAAAAGTGAGTGCACTGCCTAGTAAATTATAATAGTAAATTATAGGTGATAAATGATGAGTTTACCTTTTCCTAAAACTTCCTGTTACTTATTCTTCATGACTTAGTTTCAGCAGTCTTCCTCTGAGAAACTTCCTTGACTCTCATATGCTGAATTACATGCTTCCTATATTATGCTTTCATAGTACTGACCACATTATAAGTGGCAATTATTTCTATTTGAATAGATTATTATGTTTTGAGACAAAAGGCATTTCTTATTTCTTTTTATTTTAATTTAGAAATTTAATTCCTTTATTGGCATTGCTATGCTTTTATTTTTAATTTTAATTTGTTCTTTTTAGATATACACGATGGTGGAGTACATTTCATACATTATATATAAAAGGAGTATAACTTATCCTAATTAGAATCCCATTCTTACGGTTGTACATGATGTGAAGTTTCACTGGTGGTGTATTCACATATGAACATAGGAAAATTATGTCCAATTCATTCTGCTGTTTTTCCTACTCCCATCTCTCTTCCCTTCACTCCATTCCCCTTTGTCTAATCCAATGAACTACTATTCTTCCCTACTCCCCCTTGTTGTGTGTTAACATCTGCATATGAGACAGAACATTTGGCTTTTTATATTTTGGGACTGGCTTATTTCACTTAGAATGATAAGTTCTCCAGATCCAGAAAATTATTCTTTTAAAAATTTATTATAGAAAAATTTACTGACAAAAGTCATAAAATCATTCTTTTTTATGGCTGAGTAATATTCCACTTTGTTTATATACCACAATTTCTTTATCTATTCATCTGTTAAAGGGCACCTAGGTTAGTTGCTTAACTTAGTTGTTGTGAACTGAGCTCCTATAAACATTGATATGGCTGTCTCACTATAGTATGCTGATTTTAAGTCTTTGGGGTTTATATCAAGGAGTGTCTTATTATACCTTCTTAGTTGAATACCAAACATATAGCAGTGTCTGACCCACAGAAATCACTCAGTACACTACAGATATCTCTTATTGGGTAATGATCTATTTATGCTCTCTGGCATAAATTTACTATAATTCAATAAAATTATAGTAAATTCAATAATTCAATAAAAATTCCTGTACTTATTTGCACCATGCATAAAATATGTTTTACTATAAAAACATGGATGTGAAAATGCTTTGATATGGACTTAGGGTAAAAAAAAAAATTTTTTATTTTATTTCTTAAATTCCTTATTTGGGAAATAAGATATATTTCTTGCTTGATATTTTATGTCTAATACAGTGCTAAACACCCAGAGTACAGCATGAGGTTAATTAATACTTTCATATCCTTAAAACTATCTCTACATTATGGATGTGGAAACTGACATTTGGCAAGATTTAAATAGGGGCAGAACAGGGAGTTGATATCATGTTGTCAGGTTCCATTATCCAATGTTCTCTCTCCTCTATCATTGTTTGTTTGTTCTTTTCCTTCTCAGATTCACCTTGTTCAACAGCTGACAGGAGAAGCAAATTCATAACTTATCACTTTTGTTAATCATTAAGAGTCCCAGTTATTGTTTTCTTTTTAAATACTGTTTGTTGAATGGGGACATACATTGAAACTAAAAAAAATATTAATATAATTGAATTTTTAAATTATTTTACTATTATATCCTTGAAAACAGAATTCTACCTAACAGAAAGGGGCATACCTAAGGCATGTGACTTCTGCAGCAAGTTCTACATTACTGCAACTCAACTCAAACTTATCACTCTTTGAAATGAGGGGGGTTCATAATACAAACTCATTGTTGTGTGTGCTCAAATTTTTCTATAATAAATTTTAAAAAGAATAAATGATACTAATAAGTATGGTAGCAAGCAAACCAACCAGCCAGGGCCAGTTAGGGATGGTGGTGATACTGGCCAGTGAAAATCTCCCTGCAGTAAAAACAGCTGAGAAACTTTGCATAATGATACATAATACTCACTTCCAGCTATTTCTCATTCTTTTGTGATATTTCATGACTACCTCTAATACACTCCTTTCCATTCATCATACATTTTATCCACCTTTGAGATATTGGTGAAATAATTGCTGAATTCATAACACTCTTAATTCTTCAGCCAATTTAACTCTGAAGTAAAATGCTATTAAATACACAGCAAATTTTAAAAACAGCAACAACAATCAGGGAAGTCTTCTTGATTGTCCTATTGAACAAGACTTTAGCCTTTAGCCTTTTGCATCCTTTAACTCAATGTTCTATAAGATTATACTTCATGGTTGGGTTCTTTAAATACTTGTCTTGATTACCCATCACATTTCTCGCTCTCCTCTACCTCCTCTCTACTTGCCAACATTAGCTTGTATTCAAACAGTTCCTTATTAATATCTGTATAATTAATTGAGTGGTTTGTGCTAGATGACTTCTAAGATTCTCCTAAATTTCTATATATCTGATGACTCATGGTGTCAACATACCTCTCAGTGTCACACAAGAAAGATCGAGTAAGTGAAGATATAAGCAGTCTTCCATCCAAATAATCTAACTGCACAACACAAGAGTCAACTGTTGTTATTGTCTGAACAGGAAACATCACAAAGGCAGCAGATGCCTAAAAGGGACATGAGAAGAAAATAAAGTATTTCATTATAACATTTACATAGAATCTCCTCCTCTTTAAATAAAATTTCCTTCTCTTTTAAATAAAAATGACATGGATAACAAAATGAAATTTTTAAATAGGCAAAAATTTAATTTGCCTAAAGGGATATGAAAATTTAGCTCTCAAAAAATTTATGAAATAATTTGATACAAACTTAAGGCTTAATCCTTAAAGCTCTGTTTGTGATTATCTAACCTTAGAGGTTGGAATAAAAAAGTTGAAGCAAGTTTTGAAACATGTGAAAGAATTTTTCATCTATAGATATATTTCTCCCTTTGGGAAAAAGACAAATTAAGTCTACACTATGTAAAGGGTTTTAACTGGACTTTGAATCAAATGATAATTTAGGGGCTGATGATGTAGCTAGGTGGTAGAGCACTTGCCTACCATTCATAAGGCCAGGGGTTCAATCCCCGGTACCAACCTTTGATGGGGCACGATGACCAAGCCAGAATATTCTAATGTGTTTATTTAAAACAGAATAATTTAGTCAACTGTAGTTAGATGTCTCCTTTTCTGTCAAAAATTCTCCTAGAAAATGAGTCACGAGAGAAACTTTCCCCACATGATCACCTACAAAAACTCTAAGAACAGCTGTGTCCCAGCTGTGATATAAAGGCCTTGGAGAAGCAAAACAATGAGAAACTGATCTGCAGTGTCTCAAAATCAGACTGGAGCATTCTGTTAGAGTTACCTGAGTCCCATCCTTTTAAGCAATAAGTGTGGCAGGAAGCCTGGGGACCTACACATCTGAGCATAAGTCCCTTTATGATTCCATTCACATTAAGTTACATTTATCCTGAGACAAAATATTCCTATACCCATGAGTTTGGTCTACACAGGGGCCAGGAAAACAGGAGACTGAACAATTGGTGCCATTTCTGTATTTGCCATTTTATTAGTAACTAGTAAATAGACATCTTTTCTTTCTCAATGGCCTTGTATTAAAGAATACTATTATTAGTAATATTATTATTTAAATGCACCAGACAGGTGAGTTAGGAAATACAGCAATAGACAATGTGCAAATTATTGAAGTCAGTTCACAAGAGCCACTCTACAACAGTATCAAACGAAAATAGTCTACCATATGTACTGCCATATGTACTACAAACAATTCTCAAAACCTTTTAGGTCTGTGCTTTAAATCTGTCCCCCCAGAAATACATTGAATAAAATTGTATCCTTTAACTCAATGTTCTATAAGATCACACTGAGTATCTCTAATCACATACATAAAGAACTAGAGAGGTTCTCACCTTTGCTTGTTTAGATGTATTGAGTTTGATGGCAGAAACTTTCCCCACATGATCACCTACAAAAACTCTAAGAACAGCTGTGTCCCAACAGAGAGCTGTAACTTTTCGGCCTTTGTGTTCTGAAGACACGTAAATTCGTTCTGGTTTCCCACGACGCTCTTGATTTAATTCCCAAACAACTACAAGACCTTGACTGCAAGAATTGAGTGACAGAAGCAAATTTTTGGCAGTGGTGAAAAAGATAAAAATTTTTAACTACATTGAATCATCAATTATATTAAACACACAAGCAAACACTTGCTCTTCAGAAAAAAAAAAAAAGGAAGTAAAGGCCAGAGGGAGGGTAGAGAAAGGGGAAATGCTGGGAACGATATTGGTCAAATTATATTGTTATATTATATGCATGTACAAATATGTAACAACAATCCTACCATTATGTACAATTATAATGCACAAAAATATGGAAAAAAAAGAAAAAGAAAAAAGGAAGTAAAGAGCCAAGTTATTCATTTCCTTGTTTTAGTTGCCAAACCATCATAACAGAAGAACTTAAATGTTCTAAATTATATCTGTTACCTTCCTCTTTTAGGACCTTTAAAATGTTGTTGACTCAAATTAGCAGTTTTTATAAATCCTAGAGTGACTAATGGTCCATCTGGATGGCTGGAAAGGTGTCCCAGGACACAGGACTTCCAGTATCAACACTGGGACAGTACTAGGCAAATTGAGGTGGCTGGCCACCCTCAGTTTAAAATGCATTTGGAAGGAAGTAGCCAGACAATCTCATCGCCCTGCTCCCAACACAAAAACAAAAAGGGAGGAATGTTGGGTGAGTGGGAGACTCCCCACTGAATTCCTTACCCCTCCCCTCCTCAAGCTGAAGAGCGCCAAATTCAAAGGTTTTCTCAACCAATCCCTGAAGGACACAGTGTCCTGAGTCACCCTGCCAATCAGCACCCAACACGTCCCCTATACAACCCTTCCTAAGCAGAAGCTTGTAAGGACACACTCTCTGCCCTCTGCCTTCTTCCTCTCTGCTCTCTTCCTCTTCTTTCTCTCATCTTTCCTCTCTCTGATCATCTTTCTCTCTGCCCTCCTCTCTCTGCTCTCTGCCTCTCCTTTTCTTCCCCTTCAGGCAGCCCCCCAATAAAATCTCTTGGTTGAAAATAAAATAAAATGCATTTGGAAAAGATCAGATAGTTTTAAAACAATTTTTTACCTGGTAGCTACAGCAACGTAATCATCATCATGTAAACAGCAAGCAACCTGAGATATTGCACCTTCCTAGGACACAAAAGGAAAAATATTGTTTAAGTACCAAGTTTTCATCCTTCTTTTATTCTAAATGATTAATCATATTGGAGAAATTCACATTTACAAAAGATACTCTTAATTGTATGTGACAGGCTACCCTTGGTCTTACCCGGTGTGAAAGAAAAAGCCTGTGCTTCCAGCCTTCTTTCTGAATGAGATTGAGTCCTCCTCCTGAGCTGCCCAAAGCCAACCATTTCCGAGACACAGCTATGCTTGTGCACTAAAATCATGTGAAGAGACATGCATGAGATACTCATAGCCACTTAACCAAATAAACTACAGACTGGAAATAAATAATGAGGATTTCTGTTCAGGTTCCTCCCCTCAGTCCACCCTCTGACCAGATGGATACAACATAATGGCACTCACTCTCTAATTCTAGAATACTGAAAAATATCAAACAAAGAACATTTATATATCAAAAAGGCTGAATAGGCTCAATTGTATAAATGAGTAATCTTTTTTGGGCAAAAGCCAGTTATTAGACCATTCGTATTTTGTGTAACTTGGCTAAGGTCATTCCAATGCTGACTGCAATGGGGGAAGACGAAGTAAGTTACCAGGGGATAAAGCAATTTGCTCCCTTAAATAACTTCTAGTCTGCATAATCATCACAAAACACCACAGTCCTTAGAGCAAGTGAGACTCTGGAGGGCACAGATTCAGGTCACCGTACTACCATGTCTCCCCAACCTATCAGTCTGCTGACTTCTCTCTTGACCTGCCAAACAAAGCAGTGGCCATGCTATGCCCAATAATCTGTGGCCAATTATTGGTTTGCTACTAAGAGACATTACTAACCTTCTTCAACTTTGTTGCTTTTCACCACAGAAGCTGAAAAACCTAAATATTCACTTTCCCATTTTCCCTTGTTGCCAGGGGTAACCATGTAGCTCAATTCTAGCTAATAAGGCTAAGATTGCTTTACCTTCCCAGACGAAAGGCAGAGTTTCAAGAAAACAAACCCTCTGCCCTTGGCCCCCTCATTCTTTTTTTTTTTTTTTTAATATTTATTTTTTAGTTTTTTCGGCAGACACAACATCTTTGTTTGTATGTGGTGCTGAGGATCGAACCCGGGCCGCAAGCATGCCAGGCGAGCGCGCTACCACTTGAGCCACATCCCCAGCCCCTTGGCCCCCTCATTCTTGCTTGAGATACAATAGGGACATTAAAACTGGAGGCAGGATATGTATCTTGCAACTATGAATAAAAGCCAACATATAGATGATGACGAGAGAGAGAAAGATGGAGAGCCTAAGTCCTCAGTGACATTGTTGGGCCACTATACAAAAACCAGCACCACCAACCTCCAATGAGATGATAAACACCTTAATTGTGTAAGTCACTGAGATAAGGTATTCTGTAACTTGCAGCTAAAAAATATTTCTAACTGATATCACCTCTCACAAATGTTGCTCATATTGCTTTGCCTATTGTTTCCTATTTTCCCTCTCCTCAGAGGCTAAAATGTACTTTGGAGCAGTAGCAAAAGTGCAAAATCAAGTTATTTTTGAATTAGTTATGATACTTTTGTTATTTACCATATCATCCTGCCTTTAATCAAACAAATTCAGATTGCGGGAACTATACACTTCCCACACAGCTAATTTTTACTCTGCTCCCTAACCAGTGGTTATATCAAATTTCTTGTTTTGGAATAAGGCAGTGGTTCATGTTGTTCAAAATGTAATGTGGGGGCATACTCATTTATACTATTAATTTTAATAACATGCTTTACTTTCTGAGAGAAGAAAGCAAGATTACTGAGAAGGAAAAAATTATTAGAACCATGGTTTCCAGAGCTGGGGAAGAATTCGAATGATAGTTTAAAAACTATATCACATAAGAGCTATGATGCCAGGCATGGTGACACACACCTGTAATTCCAGGATCTTGGAAGGCTGAGGCAGGAGGATCTCTCAAGTTCCAGCCAGCCTGGGCAGTTTAGCAAGACCCTATTTCACAATAAAATAAAAAGGACTAGGGGTATGGCTCAATCATAAAGGACCACTGAGTTCCATCCCTAGAAGAAAGAAAGAGAGGGAGGAAGGGCTAATGACTATGCTACTCCCACGTAAGGTATCATGAGGACAGGTAAGAATACAAAAGATTCCACAAAACAGAACTAGAGACCAGGGGGAAATATAACAGAGCACATAAAAACATGAATATGAAAATGAAACTAACACAAGGATGAAGAAATTCACCTTTAAACGACTGGAGTCCAACCGCAAGGCTGAGAGTAATGGATCCAGTGACTCAAACTCTGCAAGAACATGGCTGTAGGACTCTGGTATCACTGGCACAAAAGTCATTTAGTCAAAAAGGTGAAACTTGTTCAGGCACAGTATTCCTTGCCTGAAAAAAATCTGCAAAAATAGAATTTAAGATCACCATTCATTCAGGATGCATTAAAGAAATGCGTGGGGAACATAAGGAAAACATGAGACAGAACAACTAGTTCTACTTTGAACATGCTGGTAAAAAAAACAAAAACAAAAGCAAAATAGTAATAGTGTGGTCCCTCTATTTCACATTCCTTGACTCTAAAACTCTTAAAGTATCATGTCTAGATTTCAAGGCCGTCCAGCATCCTATCCCACTGCATTATCTTATAGTGTAAGAAGGTAAAATTGATACAGTAGGGCTTAAAAGAAAAATTGGTCAAGTTCCTTGAAGTAAAACAGCAACCCTACTATATTTGAGTGGTAAATTTTTAGGAGTCTCTCATTTAAATGCAATATTCTGTTGATAAGGCCTCAAATACTAAAGCCTTGTCAGCAAGCATTAAAGTTATCAACCAAAATTTTAACAGTGCTTAATGAAGGCCTCTAGATCTCTCCATTGAACCCGGCAGGGGCCTGATATGTATGTTTTTTGAATGAAGTGAGAAGATACAAGGAATTGGAATACAAAGAATAAGAGCTCGAATAAAAGAAACTAGATAGGAATTAATAGAGATAAGAATATTAGGTAGCAAAACTCAAATGCCCAATGAGAACTTTGTAAACTAACACCGAGTTGCCTATCTGTTCAACTAGTCTCAGTAACTTTCTCAGGTACACGTTTGTCTGTGTGTGTGTGTGTGTGTGTGTGAGAGAGAGAGAGAGAGAGAGGGCACCAATTTAGAAAGAGAGAGATGGCACCAATTTAGAGAGAGAGAGAGAGAGAGAGAAATGGCACCAATTTCCAGGCAAAAAGAAAACTGTACCATTACACACATACTACAGTCTTATTTTCTGGTAGTAATTTTGTCTCATACAATTCAACATGCACAAGAAAAATGTTGTTCTAAAAACAACCAACCAAAAATTTAGTAGAACTATACTCAAAATACTCGAGAACTCCTGATCTAAAAAGATTCTTCTCTTATTTTTTTCACTCATTCATTTTATTGTGTAGCTAATACAACATCAGGCACAATGGTGGGAACAAAGTAAGTAAAACAATTCCAGAAATCAATTTACAATCAAACAGGGAGAAAAACACAAATACCACATACAGATATAAGAGAAACATAAACAAAGTGTTTTTTTAGAACTTAAGGATTAGAGGGATCACACTGAATTAAAGGGAACCACAGATAACTTCCTAAGGGAAGTAGCACAGCACCAGGTAGGTTTTATCAGAAAGAAAGGGAAAGGGTAGTAAATAGTGCAACAATAAGCAATGATATAGAGATGGAAAAATGAAAATATATTTGATGAATACATGTTCAGTCTTTGGTTGAAACACTGAATGGAATAATGAAAGATAAAGCTGGGTCCTCTATAATGGGATCAGTAGAGGAGATCTCATCTCTATTTCTTACTCCAGTTCATCTCCCTGTTACTTCTCTCCTATTCTCCAACTGAACTATGTGTGGTCCTCTTTCAATCTATAAGTTTGTTGTGCCTCTATGATTTAAAATATGCAGTTCATAAACTCTTATCCCATCTAACAAAACCTTATCTTTCTCCAAACTGAGTTTAAATGTCACTTCTGTGAAGTCTGTCACAGCTCTATCCTAGCAAACAAAAAAATTAAGCCCATAGATGAGGGTGAGAAATGCTTACCAAAATCAATCAGTAAAACAAAGGTTGGCTTGTTCAAAGCTCACAGGGCTAATAAAAGGTAGAGTTGAGACGAGAATACACATCTGATAAGTCCAGATCTAATCATCTTCCCATTTCCCCGATTATTCAATAGCAATGTGAAAGAGTCGTATTCGGGGTTTGCTGTTCACACATCAAATACAAATCACAGTGTTCTTTTGGCCCACTAGTTGTATGGAACGAAAGGGCTGTGAAAGAGACAAGGAAAGGAACAAAAATTAAAGAAATAATGCGAAAAGGAAGTAACAGATTTTATTTCCATGAATAATAATCAGAGAATTCTCACCTCAGAAAAATTGCAACATATTTTGTCACTGCATTCGTTCATTCAACATTCTGAGTATCTACTACGTTCTCAGCCTTCACGCACCGCTGGAGATACTAGGATAAAAACATAAGTCCTCGACCTCAATAAACTCCTCATCTAGTGGAACCACTACCTTTTTAACAGCGGTAACATTAATACTGTATTGCGCCCTCTTGAGTTCCGGTAACCAAGTTTTCAAAGCCAGGCTCACAGACCAGGAGCCCAAAAGTCCCAGCCCTGCCACACCACATCCCGGTCAGCAGCTCCCAATTTTCAGTGGTCCGGACCTTCTGGGCTCCGCACCCAGCCACTCACCGCGCACTGACAGCGGAACTTGAACTTCTCTCTCCCCTCTCGCTCCTCCCCGGCCTGACTTACGTCACCCAGGAGCGCCGGGGACGCGGGATAACGCTATTAACGGCACTTTCTTGTCACGTGACGATTACGCCCCTCCCTGCGCGTGGTCCCACCCCCCTCAGGCCGCGGTTGCAATTACGCTCTCTACCACCTGCAGTCGGTGGGTCGCCGCAAGCGGAAGACACGTCGTTAACCGGGATCGGAGGAGCCCTAAGCCAAATGGGTGTGACAGATAGGATTCCGGAGATCTTCACCGCACGAAACCGGAGAGAGGAAACCAAACAGGCGGGAACCGGTGGGGGAGGGAGGGAACTAACGGAAGGTGTCATGGCGGCCGCGCTCTGGGATCACGTGTCCCGCAGGCCCGCCTTTGTACTTCCGGTCACGTGCCCTCGGAGACCTCGCAGCCAGCGATGGAGGCGAGACCCCCCAGTAACAGAGGCGGTGGCGACGGCTGCGGCCACTGGGTTTCAGCCGCTTCCCAGCAGCAGCTCTAAGCTCAACGGAAGTCGACCCGATCCAACTCAGTTACTCACTCCTAGCCGGAGACTGTAGCTTCCACCTGGTAAGTTTAGACCAAAGAATGCGGGCAGGTGGGCGGTGAGTAGCTGACAGGCCCGGGGGTCGCGGGACGGCGCGGATTCTGCACCTTTTCCCAGCGTCGCTTTTGCGGTCTCCACACCGTTTAAGATTGCCGTCTCCTTTGCCCTTATTATCCCGAAGTAGGAAAGAGGCGACCCGATCCTTAATCTGCTGGTCTAAAGGAGTCCTGCCCTTCCACGGAGAGCAGGGACTCGAAGATCCATCCAACGCCGGGATCTGACTTACTTCATGAGAATGAAGGAAGTGGAGGCCGCTCCCGGGCAAAGAGGTCCTTCCCTTTAGGAAACGTACTGTAGAGAGTCTTTCGGTTTCAGTAAGGAAAGCTCTCACCTTGGAGGCCGAATGAGCTCGTGCTTCCACCTGTCAGTCCTGCCGCCTTTAAATTTTTTATTTACACGTGAGCCAACCTACACACTTCCAGTTTTAGTCATTCCCGATGTGATTGTCATGTAATGAAAAAAATGGAAATATATAATTATTTCACAAATTTTCCAATGTTATCAGGCTAAATTGAGTAAGGTGGCTTATCTGATTGGCTTATGTATTTATTGATTGATTGATTGTGGTGCTGTGGATTGAACTCAGGAACGCGCTACCACTACTGAGCTACATCCCCAGCCCCTTTTATTTTTTGAGACAGGGTCTTGCTGAGTTGCCAAAGCTGGCCTCGAATTTGGCGATCCTCCAAGTCGCTGGGATTGCAAGACCACACCCAGCTGATTGACTTTTTTTGTTGTTGTTTTTGGTACTGAGGATTGAACCCGGGGCACTTTACCATCCCTAGCCCTTTTTTTTTTTCCCCCTTATATGGAGTTTCTCTAAGTTGCTTAAAGCTTTGCTAAATTGCCAAGGCTAGCTTCCAATTTGTGATCCTCCTTCCTCAACCTCCCAAACTGCTGGGATTATAGGCATAAACCATCATACTTGGCCAGCTGATTGAGTCTTAAATGCCCATTTTAACGTCTGTAAAATAGGAGTGGAAAGAGGTAGGAAATTTTTTTATCCATCAGAAGATCCAATTTAAAACATGAAAATGCACTGGGGATGTAGCTCAGAGGTAGGATACTTGCCTATCATGTAGAGGCCATGGGCTCAATCCCCAAAACAGCCAAAGAAACAACAAAAAAAGACCACCAAGAGTGGTTTAAGGGCTGGTGTTGTGGCTCAGTGGCAGAGTGCTTGCCTTACACGTGTGAGGCACTCGGTTCAATCCTCAACAACACATGAAAATAAAGATTGTGTACATCTACAACTAAAAAAGTGTTTTTTAAAAAATTGGTTTAAAATACATCTTGCAATACTGGCTCCATACAACCCAATATTCTCTCATTATACAGAGTTGTGATTTTTAAACTTTTTAAAGGAATTAAACAATTTCTCCCCATGAACTCTTACCTGGAATGCCAGTATGTAAAGCAGCATTCTTTGGTGGAAGGCTACACCAACTCAGCCTCCCCTTTCCTAGAGGCTAATCTTTGGTTATTAAGACAAAGTTGCCAATCCTAAAATTTTTAAAAGCTAAAACCATAGCTGTGAAAGTGGAGAAGTCGTAACAGCAGGGAAAATAACCTCTAGGAGCAGGCCTAAGATTTACAGAAGGACTGGGCTCTAGGGAGAACTTAGAACCTATAAGTAGTTTTAAATCCTTAATTCTTAAAGGGGGAGATGGTCTGCTGCCCTTACCCAGTTGACCTTTAGCAGCATGACACAATGATAGATTTGAGTCTCTCCTAAGTGATGTTAAATGCACATTGCAGTGCAAATGTGTAAAAATAATTAAAGTGAATGCAGAGAGGGCTCTTTAATAGAACAGATTGGTACAGTCAGAGGGAGAAAAATCATTTAAAAGTAGAGGCAAATATCTGAACTTCAGTAGGTTGTGAATGCTTCATGTGTGTACTGCTCACAAGGCTTTTATCTTCCCCTGCTCGTATATTATTTTAAAGCCTGTTTGTGTGTGTGTGTGTGTGTGTGTGTATGTGTGTGTATGTGTTTCTCTTGCCATCAGAATGTTGTATGGTGTATTTGAGATCCCTTAACCCTTTGACCACCGTTTCTACCTTATGGATATTGCTGTTAGAGATGTCACTGTGCTCTTCCCCCTTTCTCTCCTCCTACCTTTAATGTGGCTGTGTCAGCCATTGATATAATATTCCCTCTTTTCCCCACTTTGATTACCAGATGATTATTCTTCACTTTTGGTACTCTTGTCAGTTTTTGTTTTGTTTTTGTTTTTGTTTTTTTTTTTGCAGTGTTTACTAGTGGTCATCAGCCCATTTTCCTCTATTATGCATCTCTATGTCACATATTCCTCTTGACTGTCCCTGCACTGCTGTAAAGTGAAAAGGTACTTGGCCCTAAAATTGCCACATTAGTATTCTCCTTAATATCATACTTGTTGGAAAAATATCCTTAAAGCAATATGTTTTGGTTACTTTTGACATACTTATAAGTTGTTATTCCCTGTATTGTTGAATTATTAAAACATTTTTTGATTGCTTGATACAAATAGTATTCCAGATCTCCTGTCTTTTATGTTGGTAGATAAAGCAGCTTTCTCTGGCAATTCTCCTATCTGAAAGGATAAGGGTGATAGGAGTTTATATTTTACGGGTTATCTTTTTTCTCCTCCATTTATCTCTGCACTTTTAAAACGTGTATGTAGGTGATAGAAATGCACAGATGCAGTAATTAAAAGATTTCTGCTCAACCATTTTAAATTCTTGCTATCCCTGTTTCCTTATAGGGCAGGATCCAGTTAATGGAATCTGTGTGAGAAATGGTGCTCTGATATGTGAATTGAGAGCTCTAGTGCTTCCTGGAGTTGAGCCTAAGATTTATGTGCAAAGATTTCTTGTGTCTTGCTGAGACTGGATTCTTTTAAGAACAAAGATCTTATAGAGATATCACAGATATTTGTTGGATTCTTCCTAGGAGCCAAATACTATGCTGCTTGGTGCTATACTATGAATACAAGGGGCCTCTGCCTTCCTTTATTAAGTTTGTAGTTTGTCGAATTTGAAGAATTTAAGGAATTACAGAAAAAAGAATTACAGGGACTGAGGCTGTAGCTCAGTGGTAGATGGCTTACCTAGTATGCATTAGGCCCCTAGTCTGACTTCCAACATTGGGAAGAAAAAAATGTAGTAAGTGCTATGGGGAAAATAATAGCAAATGTTAGCTAATAATTTGGGGGTTTGTTGGTGTTTGGTTTTGGTTTTGGTGGTGCTGGGGGTTCAATCCAGAGCCCAACATATGCTAGGCAAAAGCTATGATTTTGAAGTTTAGAGTACTAGACTGAAAAATATGCGTAAAAGTTAGCCAGTTAATGGGAAAATGTAGCTTCAAGCAAATAAATTTTTAACTGCCTATCAATACTTTTTTGAGAAGGTCTTGGTATAAAAAAGTTATGATAGGGCTGGGGTTGTGGCTCAGCAGTGAAGCATTTGCTTAGCAAATTCAAGGCCCTGGGTTTGATCCTCAGCACCACATAAAAATAAACAAAATAAAACTATTGTGTCCAACTAAAAAATAAATATGAAAAAAAAAAGTTACCACAGTATTATCACAAAGTAATCTTTTTTAAGTAAAGCTAGATCTTCATTGACCTGACTTGTTTAGATATAGCCTACAGCAATATGTCTTCATAAACAGAATATTTTGTGGCTCTTATTGAGTTCTACTGGGAAGACCTGTTTGCCTCCCAAGGAATCTCCCTCAAGAAAAATCCGAAAATCACTGAAGCCATTTAGAATAACCTCAGAGGTTCATTCTATTAACCCTCCTAAAATTGGTACATTCGTCCTTGAACAATTAACAGAAACACTACAGATGATCAGGGAAACTTGCCAAGCAAATTAACTGAGACAATTGACCATTGTGCCCAGTATTCAATAATTTGTCTCTGATTTTTTTTTTTTTTTTTTTTTTTTTTTAAGGTCCCACCATTTTTTTTTTCCTGGTGGTGGTGCTGGGCATTGGAACCCAGGGCTTCATGCATGCCGGGCACACACAGTCTACAAATTAGCTGCATTCCCAGCCCTCCCCCAAATGAATTTTAATAGGTTTCACATGTTATGTTATATAAGAGATTATGTTTTTCCTGGTTAATTTAAAGTAGCTGATTCAAAATCAATTTATACAGTCCCATGAATTCTTCACTTTACAGTTTCTCTGTCTTCACCTACTTACTTTCTCGTCTTCTCAACTTGGAAATTTTCTGTTCTTTTCCAAAGCTAACACTTTGCATTTGGGCCTGTAAGCCCAGTTAATTGGGGACTTGCTCTATCAGCTACCCCTGTTCACTGTTTTTTCTTCTAATTACTGATGTGCTTTAAATTATTTAATAATTATGTGGTAACC